GCACAAGGTCAGCCCACTTAAACTCCAAACTCAGCCAGAAATAGAGCTGGGAAGTGGGCAAGGGTGGCCAAGTGCAGGGGTCCCCAACCATTTGAGGGGTTCTTTGACTGAGCCATTTCATTTCATCAAAGACACATTTTTTTCTGGAAGGAAAATGGAGAGCAGCGGGTGTGAAGGGAGTAAGGGGTAGGCAGGGTGTTCACCGTGAATTATGACCACTCTCAACAAGAGTCTTTCACATTGTGGAGGTGAGGAGAGGATGGGGTAATTGGGCATGTTAGACCCATGCATAATGAGGGCAAGTCTCTGTCCGTTTCCCACCCTCCACTCTGCCACTGCTCACGAGATGTGGGCCCCCATATGCCCCGTTGCTATTCCACTGTGGGGCTCAACGCCCCAAGGGTTCAATCCAAGGACCCCAAGCTTTGATAGCGCCTCGCCAGACCGGCAGTCCTCCTGGGCTGTGCAACAGCACGTGGTCATGCCCCTGGCGTGGAAAGGCTGAAAGCTGCCTTAGAAATTAAAAATGATCAGCCAAGCCAGGGCTCGTGCTTTCCACCTGCAGGGTCTCAGAAAAACCATTCGGCTTTAAGTTGCTGTTTTTTCAGGTTGTAAATACTGCCTTTGCGTGTACCTTTCATATAGGTAACAGCTGTACCTTCTGGGGGTCAGCACTGAGCAGTATATTAGTGGTAGGTAAGAAAAGAGGCTCCTGAGACCTGTCTCCCTGACTAGGAGAAGAAATCTTTGGGGACAAAGTCAAGGGGGAATGAAATATGTTTGGTACACATGGAAATACAATACATCTGCCACGGAGCATTGTCCATTTCACCAGGCTTATTCCCTCTGGGTAAGCTTCTGATAATCCTAAATGCAGGAAATTTCAGAGGAAGGACAATTGAAACACCTGGGGGGGGGGAAGGAAGTACAAAAGAAAAAAATTAATCGATGCACAAAAATACTACTTTTCACCCCAAAACTGTGAAATTTCACCATCCAAACTAAGTCAACCTGAACTCCAAAGGACAGTGGTACTGTGTTCTGGTGAAACCCTACGGGGCAAGCACTCAGAGCTTGGTGCCTCCATCAGGTAGGGTATCTCCAGCTTGTCAGAATGAACTGAAGGTGCATCTCATTCTGGGAGGAGTTTGCATACAGCAGCAGTAAGATTGGGAAATAAGGACTGGGAAATAAGGTTGGGAAACAACCAGTCAGGTCATTTGTAGCCATGTTTTCAATGGTTCTCACCCCTTCCTCTACGAGTTGGTAGCCCCAGGATGCAAGTTCTAACAGCAAACACCCATCCTGGCATGTCATAAACCATCCCTGCGTATGACTTTCCCCTGTTCCACCTCAGTGGGGCCACCATCACCTCCATCTCCCACCTGCACCATGTAGAGGCCCCTGCAGGGGTCTGGAGTACCCAGCAGAAGTGGGGCAGGGACAAGGCAGGCAGGTTGTGGGGTGGTGGGCAAGGAATAGGATCCCCACACTGACCCACTGAAAGTTCCCCCTAAAACAGACAACACGTCTCGAGGGACATCAATCGAGGAGGATGTTCGCACAGCGTTAGTTGTGTTGACACTGACAACAGCAGCAGAAAAGCAGCCAAAAACACGAGATTCAGCACAGACCCAGTGCAGAGAAATGCATCTGAGTGCCAAGAAGCTAACTAGTCATGCAACGTGTGATCTGCTTGCAGACTCCTTATTACACATGATGAAAGACGAGCAGAAGGGAGTTTGACTCTCAGAGCCCGGGCTGACTTTTCATGCGTTGTCTATTTGGGGGTGGCAGAATGTCTGCACTTGCAAACTGAGCCCTCTTGATCCAAGCCGAACCGGTAGACTGTGAGCCCACTTTTCAGCATATAAAGCTGTGTTTCAGATTTTTGATACAACAATTAATCAGACCTATTCTTGAAAATTAACAGCTTCCTGGGATTTTTTTACACATTAGCCAGCCTTGGTTTCTTTGGATTTTAGATAACCATTTTCATCAGTAATTCATTACTTCTTCTCCTGGGAGGAGGCGATCGGCTGGATTTCTAATATTGAGACAGACGTGGCTTTAGGGCACATGCAGATTCATTCTCCATCTCACGCAGGGAGAACCCAATCGATCTTGGACATGTTGGAGCAACAGTAGACAAAAGGCAGGATCAGTCAGCACACGCATACAAAGGCCGATGCTTGCAGGACATACCGAAGGACGTACACAATGTGCACACATCAGCGGAGCAACACAAAAACAAGGCGCATCAGACCTACAGGTTTTGGCCTTGTCAGTGTCAGAAGGTCTGGCTTTTTACCTCAGGCCAGTTCTGCCTCTCGTCTATCTTTCTAATGGCCGGAGCTGCCAGGAAATGAGACATTCACTGCCTGTTCTTTCCCCCTGCAGCTCCGGTAGCAGAACTGGAGGCAGGAGAAATGAGGTCCCGGGCCTTCTTTCAACCAGTCTGTTGCCCAGCCACACACAAGGCCCTGAGCAATCCCCATGGGCACAACCAAATGATTTATGTTATGGAGGTGTTCTCCTAGGTGTGGGAGAAACTTTTGTTTCTCCTTGCAGTAAAGCAGAAATAGCCCACCGTTGCGAACCCAGGTCCCCTGCCTGCAGCAGAAGTTCTCAGCAGCGCCCACACGGTGGAGCTCCCCCCTTAGAAACGAAGCCCAGCTGGCCGGCCCGGTGGTCACCTCCTCCGGGATGACCCTGCAAAACCCACGGTCACGAAGCGAGAGACAGCAAAGGGACGGTGTGGGGACCCCCCCCAGACCCCGAACTCGCTGCACGGAGCGGTCCTGCCACGGCACGGCACGGCACGGCACGGCCAGCAGGCCCGACTTCTGCCTCCACCCACCATCTGCTGGGTGACATCCGCTCAATCAGCCCTTGTCTGCCTTAATTTCAGCTTTGGGGAGGGTTACACGGGGTTTCCTCTGTGTTCGGCAGTGCTGGGCTAACCAGGGGCTGGACTTCAGCGGGGGCTGCAATGTAATTGTATCACAAATAATGTTAACCCCTAGTTGTCAATGGCGAAGTTATACGCTCTGAGGAGGGAGGACAAGAGGACAGATTTTTTAAAAAGTGCGTTTCAAAGTAAGTATTCTAAGAAGAAAGTTATGGATGGTTGTTTTGATCCAAGAATTTGAAAGAGAATTGCACAGGAAAACATTTCCAAATGCTGCAGGGTCTCTCTTCAAGACCAAAGCACTGCAGAATCTGTCCAGTTAAATTTTCACTGTCTCTAGGGTTCGATGTTCCATCACATCTCTGGGCTGCTGTAACAGTGCTTACCCACACTCATAGTGAATTTTTGTTTTCCTTTTATTGCACTGGAATTTCGTGCTGCAACTTGCAAGGCTTTGCCTCTTGTCTTTTGCTGTGCAAAGCCCCTGGGAAGAGTCTGGGTCTGTCTTCTCTGTATCATGTTCAGCTGCAGTCAAGGGCCATTGTACTGCTGAGCCCCAGCAAGCTCCTCACGTGCAGAGATCAGGGCCTTGGCTCATCAATTCTAGTGCTTCACTGATGTAAAACTCCTGTCAGCATCGAGGGTCAGGATGTCAGTCTCTTCAGAAAGCTTCCACCTGAAGGACTGCATTTCTCATTCAGCTTCCCTTCATAAATAAATCACCTCGTAGACGCAGGACTTCAAAGTGATTATTAACAACACGCTCTTGCCCTTGTATTCCAGCATTGTGGGTGGCTTCAGTCGGCATTTTGAAGTAGGCAGTCAAGAGGTTCATGGGGCTGCACACTGCAAACACTAACCACCCTCTCAGCCAGCAAGAGAGGTCATTGTCATCAGCCAGTTCCTGGTCACGGAGGAGTTTTCAGTTCAAAGAGTACAATTTTTTTTTTTTTTTTTTTTTTTTTTGATCCGCGTCAATAAGTCAGGTTTGGCAGCCTGGTAATTGCTCAGAAGCCAGCAGCGTCTGCAAGAGATGACACATAACGCAACAGGCAACCACATTCTTTTGGGAAATCAAAGCATTCTCCCAGTGATGGTGCTGTCTTGATGGAGGCAGAAAATTCATTTGAACACCTAACCACTAACCCCCCACACACACACACACATCGCAGAGGAATAAAATGAGCAAGAAGCTTGGCCATCCTGCCATCCACACGACAGCGCGGTGGTTTTGCATACAGCTGTGCTGACTGGCTTCCAAATCACTGCTTCCCCAGGTCGCTGCTGGCCTGCCAGCAGCAGGGGCGACTGTGCCAACCACTTCCCAAGCTCTTTGTGTCCCCGCCGTCATCTGAATCATCAGTTCGGGATGCATCCACATTCACGAGAAGCCTTTCTGAAACGCTCCCTTCCCTAGGCTGGCGTATTCGTGTAGGGTTTGTCACCTTCTATAGGTAACAGCTCTATATTTTTCCAAGTGACAAGTGCAAGAGCGTCTGTTCCTCGAGGCGGGCACACTTTGGGTGCCGCTCCAAGGTGACTCAACAGCTCACAGGTCTCCGCAGTAACAGCAGCAGGACAGGCCACGGCAGCTCCCCCTCACCGACCCCAAAGGTTCTGCCTCCCGCTGCCACGCGGTGGCTGAGGTACCTCAGAAACCTAGAGAGGAGTCGGACATTGCCCAAAACCTCGGCCGGAGGCCGCGGGTCCGCCACCCCCCACACCCCCGGCGGGGCCCGAAGGCCTCAGGACGGGGTGGACACCACACACACACGACACACCCGCAGGACACTTTGTCTCAAGAGCGGCTCTCCCCCGTAACCGGCCGCACCGGAGGGGCCCGGCTGGGCGGCCCCTTCCCCTCAGGCCGAGGCGAGCCCCGAGCGGGGAGCGGGGCCCGGGGCGGGGGGGTTGGGGTGTGACAGGACCCAGCGCCACCGCCCCGCCGCTCCCCAAGATGGCGGCAAGACCGAACGCGCCGGCCCCGCCCCCGCGGGGGAGGGGTGTGTGTGTGGGGGGGGGGCGGGAGCGGGCTACGTCCCCATGGCAACGCGGGGCGAGCGGCCGGGGGGCGGGGCTTCGCCGGGCTGGTGCGCGCGCGCGCGCTTCCGGGCTGGCCCCGGCGGTGACGTGTCCGCGGGCTGACAGCGCCGGGTGGCGGCGGGGGCCGCGCGCCAGGCGGCCGCTTCCGGTGAGCACCCGGGACCCCCACCCCCCACCCCGCCCCTCTCCACCGCGGTTGCCACGGCGACGGTTTCTGTGGGGGCATGGGCCGTGCTCCTGCTCCCCCCCCCCCCGCCCCGGGACCTCCCGAACGGCCGCACCGGTGCCCCCCCCACACACCCCCCCCGGGCCCTCAGGGCCCAGCGCCGAGCCTGCCATGCCGGGTCCTCGCCGCCGGCCCAGCCCGGTGAGGGGGCGGGCGGCGGCTCCGGTCGCACCGGGGGGGGGCGAAGGGCTGAGCCCGGCGTGCGAGGCCGCTGCCAGGAGGAGCCCCTCGCCCTTTGGGGTTGGATGTGGCGGTAACCGGCGCGGGGGGCAGCCGCCGCGGTACCGGGCAGCATCACCCTGCCGTTGGTGCTGCCGAAGGGGGGGCGGAACCAAAGCGTGTCTGTTAATTACTGCCCGGAATGAAATGGGAAATGAAACGGGGGCTTGTGCGTGAGGAAACAATGAGGCTTTTTGTGAAAAGGAGTTATGAGGAGCTTTGCGTAGCCGCCTGTGACAGGAGATGAGCCTCGAAAAGTGGCATAACTTGCCGTGAAGTCAAGAACAAAATGGAGATGCATTAATGGTTGTGGGGAATAAAACTCTAAATGTCTTTAGCAGCCATGGTGCAGGTAGAGCGTGTGAAGAAGCAGCTTCCAGAAAGGACCACGTTTTGTTCTGTGCGTTGGAAATACTCCACGTGTGTGGGTTTTGAAACATGCGGGATGCAAACTGGAGGACTTACTCCTGTCTCATTCAGAGCAGAGAGTCAGAGACACTTGACATGTTTTTCCATCTTTGATATAAGAACAGACCATGCTGTCACATTCAAAAAAAAAAAGAGGGGAAGATCAACAAGGGTTGCAGGTTGATCCTCTGCAGTTTACTGTTGAGGTCACTGGTTTCATGGGGTTTGTTCTGTTCTTTCTTCTCAGGGAGTTTGGATTAAGCAGTTTCAGACAAACAGGCTCCACTCAACCAAAACAATGTTTGCAGATTTGGACTATGATATTGAGGAAGATAAACTGTGAGTATTTTGCTTGTCTTGTCCTGGTTTGTGCGTACAATAGAAATAGTCTTTGCAGACAAGACCTAATGGGAGTGGATAAATTTACCTGCTCCTGACGCTGCGTGCTGGAGAGTCAGTCTTGCTGTTTGGTCCTGATTTCTTGCTCCTTCCGGGGATGGGGGAGGAGGCATCACTGTGCTGATGAGCAAAGGAAAACACTTTCTGTTGCTCTACAGTGACTACCCTGCATTTCTGATTACGAAGCAGTACTGACAAACCTTCTGTAAATTAGTGACCTTAGCCAGAAAAAAAAATATTTATAATGGAAGGAAGAGAATTAAGAGACAAGAAGTGGAGAGAAAGAGAAACTCTGGAGTACTTAGATCTGTAAGGAGGGAAACACTGGCATTTCCTGCACATGTAACAGGTTTGATGAGATTAGCACTTAATTTAACATGGAGCACTTGTCTTGCACCTCATTTATATTGTGCAAGTTTTCCTCTCACTCCAGCACCAAGAGCAGATGAAACACTCTCTAAAACATGACAGTGTTTCCTCAGTGCTTAGTGAAGGAGGAGGGTGTCTCTCTCACCTCTAATCCTTGCATGCAGTCTCAAAAAAGGTAGCCCAAAAGGTCTTTTTGCTGGCCTGTGCTGATTATCTCCGCCATAGAGTCTAGGTGATGAATTCAAATATGCGGTGCCCATTATGTTTTCAGTTTGTATCCACTCAGATGCCAGAGCTGTTTCATACACGTGCAGCTCTGCCTGCCGTGTTCAGTTGTTCATTCCCCCTTTCTCATTGTAGGGGGATCCCCACTGTACCTGGGACAGTGACCCTGAAGAAAGACTCTCAGAACCTGATCGGGATCAGCATTGGGGGAGGAGCACAGTACTGCCCTTGCCTCTACATTGTCCAGGTGGGCACTCAGGGAGAAGGAATAAAACCAGCTTTGTAAAATAACGTTGGCCTGAGAGATGGAAATTGTAGAGAGTCCTATGCTATTTGTTTTTCTCGAAGTGGGAGACATCATCTCACTTTTCCAGTGAGTAAAATTTCCTTACCCTAGTACCTAATGGGTGTGGAAGAATTAAAATAAAGATTCTGAAATTATCCTTCTCCCTGGAGAGTGTGTTAGAAATCACAGGGGAACGGTGTGACGTTCTCAACATCAAGAAATCCTACACTTGAGGATGTATGTCTTGGAGGCAAGAACTTCCTGAGGGAACAAGATGATCAGCCTGCCTCTTAGTTAGGAAAGGGGAAAAACCGCAGCTTCACCATGAACAAAATGCAACCGAGTGAAATAGGAGGAATGTCCCTTTTTTGTTCTTTAGCTCTGCATTCAACTTCCTCTTTCTCTCAGTTCCAGACTACCTGTGCTCTTTCTCCTCTCCACTAGGTATTTGATAACACTCCAGCAGCCTTAGATGGCACCGTAGCAGCTGGTGATGAAATCACAGGAGTGAATGGGAAGTCTGTCAAAGGGAAGACCAAGGTGGAGGTGGCCAAGATGATACAGATGGTAAAGGTGAGAGGTAGGAGGGGGCCACTGGAGCTTCTGGGTCGTAGTTGACAGTTTATTGTCCATTGGTAAAGGAAGCCACTGCTACTTGCTTGCAGCACAGCAGTGTTGGATTCTTTCTTTCTACAGGGAGAGGTGACGATACACTACAACAAGCTTCAGGCTGACCCAAAGCAGGGCAAGTCTTTGGATATTGGTAAGATCGATTTCTTTCTCCCTAGAATGTTAAAATGACACGGAGGAGTAAAAGATTGGTCCCAGCTAAACTCAAAATAAAATTCTGGTTCCGTTTTTCCTCTTAACTCAGTCACTTTCAAATGGAAGCTGTCAAAGGGAATTACAGATTTAAAAAAAATCTTTCCCTGATTTCTTGAAATAGTCTTTAAGGTTAAATTGAGGCATGACTGTTGTTGCAGGAGGCTTGTTTTTCTGCGCTGTGTTTAGCATGGATGATGAAAGTAGGTAGCAACTAGATAATAATTTAATGTATTTATTTTTAATACATGTAAGTTATGCTGACCTATTGAGATTTTCAGCTGTGCACATAAATGTGTCTATTGAAAAACAGTGGTTGCAGTTTCTCAGCCTGGAGAACAGTGATGAAATACCTATCTATGCTGAGTTTTGTACAACTGTAAATTTACAGGAGAGAGGCTTTATTCCTAAAACAAAGTGTGTCTTTTGAACTAAGTCTACACAGCTGTCTCCTTTATGTGGTCTACCTTTCTCACTTTCCTAAAAAATCTATCTATTCTTTGTGCTTTCATTTCTTTTCATGGTGATTAAGGTTCTAATGAATTGTCAGGGGTTCAGGAAAATTGTGAGGAGTGAGATGAATTTCTGAGGAAACAGAAGTGATGTGAGAATATGATATTTTCCAGAGATGATGAACACCCTGGCTCCAGCTGAGTTCTTGGGAGCTGCAGGCACTTGGCACCCCTGCAAGTTCGCCTCTAAATGTAGCTGAGTCATCTGATTCCAAAGAGGACGTAACTGTCTCTAGTAATTTGCAGGGTATGACCACCAAAGACAGAAATGAATTCCATCAAGGGCTGACAAAAGGGTTTAACTAAGATCCAAAAGATAAAAGTAAGCGAAGGGATGACCTTGAACATTAAATCCTATTGGTCTTGCTTTCAGCCTTGTCTCCTAACTTCAGTTGAAGTAATACAGCAAGGAGCATAAGCAAAGTTTTAATTCCAAATGTCATGATAGGTAGCTTATAGCAAAATGATTGATTGGAATAGTCTTCCAAAAGAAGTGCTGGAGCTGCATTGACTGAAGTATACAGGATGTGAGAGCAGAACAGACAGAAGATAGAAGGTGTGCTGTGCACGGCTGGACCAAACTACTAGTTTCTGTGGTGGTATTTTTCTGCTCACTACCTCAATAGTGAGTTAAGTTCAGACCGGCCAGTTTATTCAATGTCTGGGAGAGAGGTGAAGTATGCTAGCGTGCTTTTCATGCCCATGGAAATGACCCTGATTCTGGTTTGCAACTCTCGTTTGGCCTTTAGTACTGAAGAAGGTAAAGCATCGACTGGTAGAGAACATGAGCTCAGGGACAGCAGATGCCCTGGGGTTAAGCCGAGCCATACTCTGCAATGGTAAGTATTGCCCAGGAGGACGTTTTCTTAAGGGAACACTTACCCTTTTGTGTTGACCTGCTTTTTACTGTTCCTCACGTGTTCCACATTATTCCTTCGTAATTCTTCCCTTCTGCTGTGATTGCCTCTGCCCTTCCTGAGTGATATATCCTGTTGTTGGGTCCATTTAAATGTTACCGATGGTCAAATTAATGTCAAGTGGGGACCCACTTAGTGAATGCTAATAGGTGATGACCCCACACTGTAAAATAAGTTTGCAGTTATTTTAAAAGCGTCTCATGTTGGACCAGGGGATGGGCGTTAAGAGGTGAAGGTAAATTTGAACCAAAGCTATGAAACTGGCGTTTTTCCAGTTGATGAGGTCTTAACTGTGTCCTGGGTTTGACTCTTGTAATACTGTATTGTCATCCATTTAGATGGGCTGGTAAAGAGACTGGAGGAGCTGGAGAGGACTGCGGAGTTATACAAAGGTAAACTGTGTCTTGCATCAGACACCGGATGGGAGGGAAGGATGCCTCTGTTATGTTTCAGTGAAATGACTTAAGTGCTTTTTCTGGCTTCCATCACAGGCTTGACAGAGCACACCAAGAGTCTTCTCAGAGCTTTCTTTGAGCTGTCCCAGACACACAGAGGTAAAGAGTCTGAGCGAAGGGAGCAGATTTCTTTGACTTCCAGTTTCAGGAGTTTTAGTCAGTACTTAGATGTGCGATTCCCTCGCCCAAAGAAAACTAAATGTTGCAGAAATGATCTAGGAAGGGCTGTCCTCCTGGAATTAGCAGTCACGGTGCTAACACAGGCCCTGTCTTTCACATGAGACATTCTGATCTGCCAACTTCTGGTCTTCAGGGAGCATCATTCCCCAGCTGAGTGCAAGGTTATGGGAAGTAGTTGTAATACTGGAGGCAAGATTCTTCTCCAGGGTCAACTTCTTTCATCTGTTTTGTATTTATTCCAGCATTTGGAGACGTTTTCTCTGTCATTGGTGTACGGGAGCCACAACCTGCTGCCAGTGAAGCCTTTGTGAAATTTGCTGATGCCCATCGCAACATTGAGAAGTTTGGGATTCACCTTTTGAAAACAATTAAGCCGGTAAAAAATTTAACCATAGAAGTAAAGGGTCTGGAAAAGAGGGGAACCTAGAAGGGCAGAAGCCTGTCTTTGAAGGTGTGGTCTTAAAGATCATTCATTGTGGGAAGAACTGTCCTTGCTTTCCTTCATAAAGAGCCTAAGAGGTAGCATAATAAATATATCAATCTTGTCCTTTTGACTTTTGCACATGGGTGCAGTCCTGTCCTTTTGTTTTGGGGATGAATGAGTAGTTTGATCAGTGTAGTCCCTAGAGCCCTTTCCCTGATATTGGTACCCGTAATTAAAAGATATCACTACATTTAAAAGAGTTTAGATCAGCAGTCCAGGAACAATTTAAAGATTTCAATCAATATATTTGAGCGATAGTCTCCAGGGGATCTGTCCACTGAGTTTAGCAAAGAGAGGATTAAATGTTGATTTGGGCACCACTTTCTGTGCCGTCTTGGATGGCCAGCGTTGGGTAGTGGGCCTTTTGAATCAGGGAGAGCAGCTTCCAGAACTAATTGACACCGAAACAAGGTGAATCGAAAAAAAGATAAATTCAGACTACAAGTGAGGCACGCATTTCTAACACTGGAACTACTTGCCAGTGACAGTAATGGATGCTCTAACCATGGCAATTCTGAGTCAAGATCAAACGTTTTCTTTCAGATACGCTCTAGTTCAAAAAAGAGTTAACTCGAGACTGTCTCATGACCTGTGCTGGTTAGAAGGTTGCAGTTGATGAATTGTAGTCATGCTTTTTGGTCTTAGATTCAGCAACATGATATTTCCCTTGCAGATGCTTACTGACTTGAATACATATCTGAATAAAGCCATCCCTGATACAAGGCTGACTATCAAAAAATACCTGGACGTCAAGTTTGAATATTTGGTGAGCTGCTTGCATTTTTTTTTTTTTTTTTTTTTAAGTGCTGGTTGAAATTAAGTTTCATAGAATCGTAGCCTGAAAGTCACATATAGCCTATATGATCACATATCTATCCTCCCACAATCCATGTGAGAATGCATTATTTTTTCCAAATTTTGTCTATTGTCAGATTACTCAGATTCAGACAAGTGCTTTTAACCCAATAGTTCTCACTGTTAAGAAAGATCTCCCAGAATCCAGATGGCTTATTTTGTACATGACCAACTTAATTTCCTTATTTATTTGTAAAGAGTTCCTGTGCAGCTTATGCTCTTGAACTCCCCTAAAATAGCTCTCCAGCCCATAATTTTGAAGTAGTTTTCAACAGTCTTTTTTTAGCCAAATTAAACAGCTGTCAAATCACATTGGCTTTCATTTAGACCATGCCTTTTTTTTAACTCCTCCATTCCACTCAGCCCTTGTTTTCTACACACAAAAAGGGCAGGGTTGTTAAGTGCATCTTTCTCTAACTGTAGGAATCTATTTCCTTTTACCAGTTGAGAGAAGTATTTGGAGCTGCAGCCCGAAGGCAAGTGAATATGGCAGCATCTCTTCCCACATCAGTCCTTCCCACAATTCATCTTTTTTTTTCCCCCACTTAATTTATTACCTCCTTGTAATTTTCTGGTACTGTGTTTTCCCAAACGGTACATGAACGCAGGATTTTTCTCTTACTTAGGTTATATTTATCCAAATATTTGCTCCTGTAATATAAATAATAAGCACCTCCTCTTTCCCCCACTGTTTTCTCTCCCCATCTTTCTCTAAATAGATTTTCTTTCCTCCTGGGATGTTTAATATACTCTGATCCCACTGTGTTTTCCCCAGTGTCCCTAGCTGCAGCACTGAAGGAAGGCTTGAAATGGTTCAACCCTGGGGTTATGGGTGATGATGAAATCACTTTGAATTCTTAATATTTCCTTCTTGTTTTGCTTTTATTTTCTTTTTATTTTAAATTCTGCGAAGTCCTACTGCCTGAAAGTCAAAGAGATGGATGATGAAGAGTACAGCTGCATTGTGAGTACCAGCCCTGTGGCAGTGACAACTGCATTCTCTTGTTTCTGCAGCTTCCCCGCGCACGTTGCCTTACAAATGCAAAAGCACCCCTGTGCCTGCACGCACCCAAACTAATGAACACATACTGAGAATTACACACATTCCTTCTTAACTTATTAGAAACTGGAGATCCTTAAATGCTAACTAGGAAGCACTGCGCCAATAACGGTCATGAATTACTGGTGCTGTGGGATATTAGAGGCCCCAGACGTCTCCTCTGCAGTTTGTTTGCTTGGTGGTAGCCTGTCTCAGCATTTAAGTAATATTAGCTTGTGTAAGGAGGATTAAGGTGTTACCTTCACAGATTCCATTTGTGTGTAGTGTACAGCTTATCATTAATTCTCGAGTTGTTTCTGAGAAATGGAGGTCTAGCTTCTCTAGCAAAACATGTGAAAGCTGCATTTGTAGCTGAGGGATATGGATTAAAGTATCTCTCTTAACAATAGGTTTTTCCTAAAAATACAGAATTTAAAACTGGGAGACTTAAAAAAAAAAACTGTGGCAACATTCTCCAGTAACAGTTCACTGTCTCATTAGAGTTTTGCAACTAATCCTTGGCAGCTCTGTTTAAGATAGGTAAAAGTGTCCCCTACATGCCCAGTTTCCCTGCATAAAAGTAAGATCTTGTTTTATCTTCGATACTAATCTCAGAGCAGGGATTTGAATTTTTGGAATGCCCAATTCCCAGTGTCAGGAAGGAATAAAACTTCCCTAACACCACATTTAATTCTATCTTTCCTGCTAAATGGGTCAGGAAGGAATAAAACTTCCCTAACACAACATTTAATTATATCCTTCCTGCTAAATGGGAAGGAAGGAATCCCAGTTTTTCCCAGCAGAGTAACATCTCTGGGTTTTGGCGCATGCAGCATGCATTACCAAGCCATAATCAGTAACACAGATTTTTATATATGTTATGTTTACAGGTGTGAGATAAGAATGCTGGTTTGCTGACAGACCTAACCCCTTTCTCAGAACTATCTTGGAGAACAGTGTCTAGTTCCCTCCCTGATGGTTCCCAGCATTGTGTCTGGATACCCCAGGGTTCCCTGTGTAGATGTGTAATATATTACACAATCCGTGTAGAGCGAAGCTTGCAGAGGAGGGCAGAATTTTTTGTGCGTTTGATAGGAATTGATATATTCCTCAGACCCCAGAGTTGTTCGTAGTGCCTGTCTTAACAGTTCAGGTAAGAAGCCGTGCCACTTTCTCCATGCTGGGTTGAAAGGTGCCTGTCCTTTTGTCCTTGCTTGGTAGCGATGCCTTTCCTTACCGCGGTTGGTGCGTGTTTGGCCTTCGAACTGGTGCCGTTGACCACCAGTTGTTGACGTGGCTCGGCGTTCCTCGTGTTCCGTGCTTCCTGACTGCAGTTGCAGTGAGCCTGAGAGAGGGCTGTAGTAACCCAAGGTCACTGTAAGTCCGCATGGGTAGGCAGACTCCGTGTGCAAGCCCTGTTGTGGGAGCCTCAAACGGCGCCGCGTTTTTGGCAGGCTCTGGGTGAACCCCTCTACCGGGTCAGCACTGGGAACTATGAATACCGCCTAATCCTACGCTGCCGGCAGGAGGCTCGCACGCGCTTTGCCAAGATGAGGAAGGACGTGCTAGAGAAAATAGAGCTCCTGGACCAGAAACATGGTGAGTACCACTGCTGTGTCCAGCAGCTGCAGGGGTCGGGCAGGTGTGGTTTTGGCCTTCACGCTCCCCCTTCGTCTCAGCTCAGAAATCTTTGCTGAAAAACCCTTCTGTGACCGCGCCCGAGACATCTGCCCTCAGAGGCCAAAAGAGATTAATGTGTAGGAGACTGTAACTAATCCTGGCAAGGGAGGCTCGATCACGGCCTTCATGGTTTGCTTGTGAATGGGGTTTTCGCCTGATTTGTCCCCAACTTGTCTCCCCTGCAGTGCAAGACATCGTGTTCCAGCTTCAACGTTTTGTCTCCACGATGTCCAAGTACTATGATGACTGCTACGCCGTGCTCCGAGATGCAGATGTCTTCCCCATTGAGGTGGATCTCGCCCGCACTACTCTCAGCTATGGGCAGAAGGACACCTACACGGATGGGGCAGAAGACGACGAAGGAGGAAGTGAGAGAGAGGGTAGTGGGAAGGAGGATGCAAACGGTGAAAAGCTCATTGATGATGCCTGAGTGTGCCAGCGTGGCCAGAGGAAAGACTTTGCAGACTGTTATAAAAACATGTATTTTACATGGCGATTCATCCTCAGTGACTTTCTGTGTATGTCCAGCCTGGGACTCCTCCTCTGCTTTCGGGGAGGGGGGGGTGCGTGGCTGGTTGGATCGGGACCAACCTCTGCTTTCCTCTCTCATCCCGTGCTTGTTTGCCTGGATGTTCCTTTTTGCCCCCGAGACTCCTGCTGCCCACCTGGGGTACTGAGGTGCGGGGAGGAAGATCCCCTAGCACAGCACACCGCCGTGTGACTCTGCGTGCAGACAGGACACTGCCGAGCGCGTGGGGCGCACCGCTCCCCTCCAATTAAACATCTGCAGATGCTTACGAGTGGCAAGAACAGCCCCCTTCTGGCCCCCCCTTGTGCTATGGGAAAGCGTTAGCACCAGCATTGTTTTTTTCACCCCGCTGCCTCGCTGTCTTCAAGATTCCCATTCTCTGGCCTATTTTAAGCTGCTTCTGTCTCTTCCATCTGTCCCCGTGGGCTGCAGGACGGATTTTTGCAGGATGATCACTCTCGCTGCACCCAGATCTTTGTGCCACTGCTTTTAAGAAATAGGAGCAAGTCCGAACGGATGCCTAGATCATGGTGGTACACGGGATCTGATCAGCCCCCCGCCCCAGGCACGGGGCTGGAGGAAGCTCTCATACACTGGGCTGCTGCAAAGATGTACAAGTCTCTTCCCCTGACTCCTGGCTACCGTCGTCTTCACGGTCCCTGAGCTCCTGCACAGCTGGCACCACCTGCATGCTCTGTAGCTACACCCCAGCGCTAGAGCCCTGCAGGATGTGGCTCTGCCCTTCCCTGAGGGAAGGAAGGACCTGGCTCAGGAAGGAGCCCCCCCTGCTCGGCAGAGACGCTGAGGTGAGCGTGCTTGTCTGAGGAGTAGCAGCAAGGCCGCACGCATTTCCTTTCCATTGTTCTCTCTCTTACGGCTCCTTGCGACGGACAATAACCAAACGTACTTCTTGAGGAGGTGCAGCCAGTCCTGCACGCTCTTCCCTTGTGCAGGTGCCAGGAGGAGCCACCTTAGAACTGCAAAGGAGACGTCCCATCCTTGAACTAAAGAGGAGTGACAGGAAGCATTAGGGAGAGAGGAAGACATGGCCTGTGGGCAGAGGCTTTGAGATTTTTTTTTTTAGTGCCAAGTGTGACTAGCATATCACCTCCTGCTCTGCTCTCTGCACAACCATTGTGTGCTGCCTCCGGGCCAGCCAGAAGCAGTAGCTAACGTCCCATTCCCCAGCACAAGGGAAGGGGGGAAAGGAAAACCGAAGTAATTGAGGGTGCTGCTTTCCTCCTTCCTTTTCTTTTCTCCCTCCATCCCTGTGGGCTGATCCCAGATGCAGGTGGCACTTTCTCTTTTAGCAGGCAGCACAACTGCCAGGAGCAATGTGCTTCTCGGAGGCAAGGGTTTTGACTTCTCTGTCATTACATTCTAGTGGTAGTGAGAGAGGTTATTTAAGGGCATTAATTTATCATGGAGATGTTTGTTTTGTTTTTTCTCTTTGGTTTGTTTTTGGAGCTTCATCATCTCTGTGGGTGCCTAGAAGCAAGCCATCCATGGTCAAGCTGCTCTGGAAGATTTAAACGGACTCTGATGTACTGACTGTTGTCTCGAATAAAGAAAAATGTGACATTCCATTTCCTGCCCTTCATGGGTTTTCTTTAGTGTTTTTTTTTCCTCATCCTCCATTGGTTTTAATCTTAAAATATAACGATGGGAAGGAGTGTCATGTGCTGGCCATTATTTTCTTACTCATACTGGTGGACGAGCTCTGTGCCAAGAGGCAGTGGTCACTGCGGCACAGGTTTCCAGAGGAGGAAGCTTATAAATGCTGTAGCGAGGCCAGTCCTCCATGTCACACCAGCCTCTCTGCATCTTGGCTTTCCAGGGGATACACCAGCCTTGTAAAGCCACCCGTTTCCTCGGTCCTGCCCAGTGGTATCCTTGCACCCCTCCTTGGCCAGCTTCTCCACACGGCTCAGCAGTGGCATCGCAAGCTTGAGCTGATGCTGAAGTCCCTGATCCTCTTTCAGAGCTGTTCATTGCACCAAAATACGAAGCAGTTAAGAGGAACCATGAAAATGCTTCAGCAGAGCCTGCCTGAAAGCTAACTATGAAAAGTGGAAAGCAGTGTAGCCAGGTTTTTTGCAGCCTGACTGAGGAAGAGGTCTGGGTATCTTACAGCACTGACTGGAGTTGAGATCTTGTCCCCTAAGGGCTTTTGTGTACTTTTGTGAAAAGATTCAAGAGCAGGAGGCTTAGTGGGAAATGTTGACTGGTGACGAGGAAACAGAGGGGACCTTGTTCTAGTGACCTGCCTGGTGCTGACAAGGGCAGTTGTTTTCACACTGTGGACCTTGGACCTCTGGGGAAGTTGCGAGCCCCTGCTTGGAGCGGGTAGTGGTGTGAATAAATAAAACCTGGCCTGGGGAACAGGGGTTTGGGGCGGCTGGGGAAAGAGCTGCAGAGCAGAAACGGGTGACCCTCCCTCATGGGGAGGGGAGAGCAGGCTTGAGGAGCAGTGCGTGACAGCCTACAGGGCTCCATCACCCTTGCTGCTGCTCATTCTCATTCCTGCTCATTCTGCCAGAGCTTTGCATCTGGGGTTCGTCGCGGTGCTCAGTCGGATTTGGGGTGTTTCTAAGGTGGTTTGAATCGGAAAAAAGCTGAAAGTCAGTGCTGTGACTGGCTAACTGACAGAGCTAACAGCAGCAGTGTTGGCTGTGGTGGAACAGGGCACAGCCCTTTGGGGTTTACCTTCTGCTCTCCACTTTCCAATTCTTATGTCTCTTCTTAAACCGACATTCCTCAGCAGCTTTATCTTTGCTCATTTACTGTTGCCTGTGCTTGGGAGCATCTCGAATGAAACCCTTTCCTTCAAGACCGCGCTCCCTCTCATGGTTTAAATGGCTTTATGGGTCCTGCAAGCTTCGCCCATTACCTATTGATTTGTAGTCGCTCTGGTCTGAAATGAAACACCCATTTTGATGGTCCCACGAGCTGCCTTCCCTGTAGCCCTCTGCTTAGTTTTTGATCCCTCGCTATAGTCACAGGTTCCCCTGGGGCCTCTGAGGTGAAACAGTTCAGGAAACCGGAAGAAAAGGCTTAGGCTGGGAGTGTTTATAAAAGATCCAGTCCTAAAGCAGCTTAGGAGTGGTTTAAGCATGCCAGGGAAGGTTGTCCTCTCTGAATCTAGAAATCCACCACTGCAGCGGGGGTGAGAGGGTCATGCCTGCCTTACCACGTGCTCAGCACCCTCGTTAGCGGCACCCGGGGGCTGCGGCTTCTCCTTCTGCCTTACCTTTGATTCCTTTACACAAGGGGGTGTTCTCTATTTAAAAGGCAAACACACACACACGCGGCTGGTGCCGTTCCTGCCGAGTGGATAATCGCTTGGGACACGGTCATTTACCTGCCCTGAAACCTCCGCCCCCACAGGGGCCAAGTTCCTACGTCAACAGGACTCACTTCAGCCTAGATAAAGCTGTCTCACTGCCATACCTGTCGGCGAGGCTCCGTCTCATGGCTGCTCACCTAATGGCATTAGTCTTGCTCGGGTGTCTTCTTCTTGCGCCTCAGCAGCGGCCTCCGACTCAGCACTTACCGACTTGGACGAGCAGCATCGTGTGTCACTGCCCCGGCTTTACCGCCTACAAAAGATGCTCCAGGCAGCGATGGTTGGAGCCGGTGTCCCACCAGCCTGGCAGTGCCCGAGGGAGGTTCTGCAGGGACCTCAGGGTCTGCCCCCCTGCTGGCTGCAGCTGGGGGTGGCCCTGGGGTGACAGCTATGAACTACACCCCCTCCTCGACCCACTGCCAGCTCGGCTCGCGCTAGCCCGACCGTGGAAGTGGGGCGGAGGAAACACTGACACCAGACCAAAGCGTACCAGATCTGATTACAAAGAGTCTCTAATTGTTTGTGTTCTGTATTGTGACAATGCAGAAGGAAAAGGAGAGTCCTTGGCAGCCTCTTCAAAAGACTTTCTCCAGGGCTGGTTGGGAAGTGAGGAAAGAAGATTATATGTTTTTTTTTTTTTTTTTCTTTTTGGTGTTTGGGCTGCTCTGAGCCTGTGTTGTACCAGCATGGGTGCAGGATGCAAGTAGACATATCACTGGGTGGGTATGTGGACATATGTACATAAGGACCAGCTATTCTTATTCCTCTCCCTCTTATTTCTTACACGGGCTTTTGTCTCAACTTTCTCCACCCCATATCCCACCTACCCTCCCACACTGAGGTGCATGCAAACAAGGCCAGTTTTAGACATCCCTGTCCTTCTGCCCTGGCTAAAACCGTTCCCTCTCCACCGTCTGGTCAGCATTGCTGCCATCTCGTGCCAACACCTCCCCATCCCCCTCGGGACACCCGCCTCCCTCCCCACTCTGCTCCTCTGCCACGTGGTTGGCCTCCTCGCTGGCTGCCACCGCGGCGTTGTCGCTGCTGTGGCCCGGCTGGTGGTTGTCGCTGCTGTGCTCCTCAGCTTCCTGCACATCGGACTCTGCCTCCTCTGTGTCGCTCCCACCGCCCGCGGAGGGGTTCTTCTCTGGGGGAGGCTCCTTCTTCTTCCCTTGGTCCAGGCAGCAGTAGGTGGCCGTGGCCAGGAAGAGAGCGGAGAGCACCACCTCTGAGCCCGCCAGGTAGAAGATCACCTCGTAGTTCTTGAGAGCGTCAACCAAGCGGCCTGAGGGTTGGAGAAGTGAGACAGTCAGCCCGAGCCTACGCACCCCTGCACAGACAGCCCAGCACGGGCGGGCAGCACCTGCATTTGGCTGAGGACCCATTTCTCAAGGGAAGAGCAAGAAGCCTGACTACCTAAAAAAAAAAAAAAAAATCACCCTGGGCAAAAGCCACACTGTACCACCAGTGACAGTACTGTAAGAGTGCGGGGTTGGTGTTTTCCCTTATTTGGACAAGGTTAAATAATCGTGACACACTGATGTTATGGTTGTGTCGTGGTGGGCCTATCTTCTTGCCAAGGTGAGACGAGCCTCTGAGGACTTAGCTTGTCCAGTCCCAGAAAAGAAACAAAATTTGAGAGGCTTCCTTAAGTTCTCGTGTCAGGAAAACATTCAGAGGGGGAGAAAAAACATCTCTTTGGCAGAGAAATCCCTTCGGTTGGCCCACACCTGATGATTTCTCTGCCAAAGAGATGTTCTCAGTGGATCTTCTGAATGCACTGGAGCTGGCAATGAAGGGAGGGTTCCCAGTCCTCAATGCTGGGGAGCCTGAGCAGCCAGTGGTCAGGGTGTCACCCACTGAGCTAGGACAGGACCGTGGTGACCAGAGGCTCCATCCCGGTCCCGCATGCTCCTGACTGCACATGCTGCCCCCCTGGTCCCAGCCGCAGGGCGCGCCGAGGTGCCTCCCGGAGCAGTCATGGGAGGCAGGCGGCGAATTCCTCGGCGGGTGAATGTGCCCCCGCTCACCCAAGCCGGATGGCGAGCGAGGAGCCTGCGTGCACGCACGCACACGTGTGTGTGTGTGTGTGTGTGTGTGTGTGTGTGTGTGTGTGCAGCTTATCCTGTGCCAAACCCCCCTCAGCCCCACGGAGCGGGAAGCAGCTCAGGAGGATTACACCAAACAAAGCTACTTTGTTCAGCACCCCCCCACCCCTCCTTCCCTTCTTCCAGCCGAGACCGCTCCCCCGACTCGGAGCTGGGGGGTTTGCCAGCACACTCGAGCTTCCTGTACAAGGAGGGGGTCCTGCTGGTCCCCTGGGGAGAGAGGTGGGAACCACGACTTGGCTCCCCCCAACACCGTTCCTTGGTGACCCTGCACCCCACTGCGTGCGTGCACGGTACCAAGGCAGAGCCGAACTGAGGCAGGAGGGCTGAGGGGTGTCCCCATCACCACCCACTGGTGTGCCTTGCTCCAAGAAGCAAGATGCTGTTAAACCCCCCTCTCCCTCTACGATTTCTCTGCAGCAGCCTCTGAGACACGCATTTCTTTGACCCTCCTTGGCCTGGGACTGCTGACTGCCCCACAGCTTGTAAGATGTAACGTGAATTATTGTGAAATTCGAGAGGGTCTTCTCTTGGCCACCAATTTTTACCTGAGGACTGGGAGGAAGTCGCTGGAGGTGGGTTTTGCTCATAACGGGTGGTATGTGCTGGGGAAAAGATCAGTCACGCAGAGGTCTTCACTGATGGGCTTTAGCCCGCGTGTTGCAGCTGATGGGAGTGCAGGAAGCAAGGGAGTGGTCCCTACCTAAGGGTTTGTCCATGGTCTGTCCCTGACCCTTCCGCACAAATCACACATGCAGGAGACTGTGCTTCATTTGGAAATGATCTTTTGGCATGGTTTGGCTTTCTCGGAACTGATGAGACACTTAACAGGAACCTACACCAGCCTCTTAAGTGAAGGGTCTCTCTCACATTCAACAGCCTACTTATGGGCTGTTTGTGGGGCATGGACCTTACCAGGGCCTGTGGCCTAAACCAGACTGCTTGAGAAGCTGTGAGTGTCTCAATCCTCTTAAAAAAAAAAGTAACAGTAAATGCTTCAGGTGGCTCTACAAACTGTTTTGAATTGATCGACACCAAAATGCCCGTGCCTTGGGGCTGGGACCAACACAAACTGAGGTCATTATTCACAGCAGCAATCAAAAGGCCATGGGCGCCAAGGAGGACTTGAAAGATCCTTGCCTTGTCCTACTGAAGACTCTCAAATGTTTGCCTGCAGCACGTGCCTGCCCCTACCAATCCCATGATTTTATGCAACATTTGCAGCTGTTGCAAAACCCAACGCGGCAGCGAAGGCAGAGACCTGGATCCCACCATAGACCAGGGGGATGTGCCGCTGATCAGAATCGAGGGACACTGGAAGCCATGCCACTCTGGATAGCTCGGTGTGCCTGCCGTCACTCAGGTCTCTGAGCAAAGCAGAGAGAGAGATCTCACTTGCCATCTTCTGCCCCTGCTCAGATTCAGTGTGGTGGTGCGTGGAGTGAGACTGGGAGCTCTCCCTTCAGATCTCATCTTCCAGAGGAAATTCAAAGTTGAGAAATAGGGTCTTTCTTCGAGTACCGTGCCCACGCCCGATACCTGCAATACCATTTGGGGAACGGCAGCCGAACAAATCACCCGTGATTTGCAGCAAGAGACCTACCTGCAGAGGGTGGGCCGATGAGCACAGCAAAAGCCTCAATCAGTAGGACCAGCCCGATGGCGCTGGAGAACTTCTGGGAGCCCACGATGGCCATCAGCACCTCGAACTGCAGTGCCCCCACCATGCCGTAAGAGATGCCAAAAAAGACGCAGAAGATGACCAGCCCTGTGTAGTTGCTAGCCCTGGCACTGCAGATGTCTGTCAAGCCATTGAAGAGCATGGAAAAGCTGAACAGGTACGCCACGTGCGGGCGGACCCACTTCAACCCTGCCACCATGCCGCAGGCCGGGCGGGCGAAGATGTCTATGAAACCAATGATGGAGAGCAAGAACGCAGCCTCTGTGTCTGGTACGCCCGTGTCCTTGGCGTAGTTGACCAGCAATATGGGGGGCACAAAGAGACCTAAGACGAGGATGAACTTTGAAATAGTGTAAATTATAAACCCTCGGTTGGAAAAGATACTAAAATCCAGAAGCTTCTTTCCTTTCTTGGGCTTCTTCTTGGCTTTCTTGGTTTTCTTGGTTCCATCAGTGGTGCTGATTCCCTCCTCTGATTTCCCTCCTATGGGAAGCATCTCCTTGGCTTCGTATTTGTCCTGAGCTTTCCCCATCTTCCGCTTCATGCCCATATCCAGGGGTCTCATGACTGCCCCACAAGTGCAGCAGTTAAGCAGAAGGCCCCCCATGATAAGGAACCCTCCTCGCCAACCAAACTTCTCCAGCAGCACTTGCCCCAGTGGAGAGAGGGAGGAAAGGAAGACAGGGCTCCCAGCAGCAGCCAGTCCATTGGCAAGAGGCCGGCGCTTGTCAAAGTAGGTGCCCAGCATGATCAGTGAGGGCTGGAAGTTCAACGCCATACCCAGACCTACATGAGGGTGAGAGCCAGGAGAGAGACAGGGAGGGCAAGAACGTGAGACATGGTTTGCGACAAGCTGAAAGCTCCCCTCCAGACTATCCTAGTTCTGAAGTCCCATGTTGGGATTCGTGTGTTCCTCACAAGCCTCTGCTCCTTCACGTGGCGGGTTGCCCCTGGAGAAGATGGGCTAGACCAGCCTGGCTACGTGAAGTGTATTTGAATCAGGTAGCTGTTTAGACAGGCCCTGTGCCTTAAACAGGAACTTTGCCTCTCTCCCTAACCACTATATACTGATGCCACCTCAGTTGCCATGATCACTGAGCATCACTTATGTTTCTTCCGTCCCTCTCAACTCAACCACAGGCCCTGCCTGTTTAGATTCAGCAGATGCATCTCCCACAGGTGCAACACTCAGGACTAGATGCCTCCTGTGAGCAGCTGCGAATAGGTGAGGGAAGACCTGATGCCAGACGTGGCAATGCTAAAGAGAGATAAAACATGGTCTTGGCTCTTCCCCTGGCAAGTCTGTGCCTCCCCCACCTCCTGGGGCTCTCACCTGTCAGCACGCCCGCTGTCAGATAAAGCTCGATGATGTTGGTGGTAAAAGATGCCAGGATCATCCCAGAGGAAGCTAGCAGCCCACCAATGAGCATCACAGGCCGGCAGCCAAACTGGTTCACCATGATGCTGCATACTGGTCCTGGGAGGAAGCAGAGGAGACAGAGTAAGAGATCAGAAGGAGACAGGACAACTGGGAAGGGGCAGACAGCCCAGGCAGGGCACTCAGGGAAGATGAAACCCTAATGACAGAGATCACTACTTGGCTGCTTAGATACCCCTCCACCGGACCCGGCCAAGGGAAAGAGGCTGTGATGTAAAGACATCTGCTTCACTCTGCCTTCAATCCCCTCTTCCCTGGGAACAAGAGGGGCTTGGTGTGACAGGGGCAGAACTTCAGCAGTGGGAGCAAACCCCATGTCAACTGTCTGAGAGGCAGTTGGGGTGACCTCAGAGGTCTCCTGGGGCAGAGGAAACAGGGACAAGAAATGCAGCACGCTTCTAGAAGAGAAGTGTTAAGGACAATTGTATTCTGCATGTTGGCTCATGTCTGGGCCAGCGAGTGTGAGGAGAGCCCCTGGGGACATGGTCTGGGCCCGTAGCAGGGTGGGGAAGGCACAAGTTGGGCAGGGGGAAAGTGTGTCCAAGCATCACCTGTCCCGTAGAGCATGGCCAGCATGATGGAGGAGATCCAGGCTGTGTCACTATAGCCCACGTGGAAATCTTTCATAAGCTCCTTGAAGTAGACACTGACGGCTTTTGGGAAGGCATAGGAGAAGCCGGTGATCACAAAACAGCCGAGGAGCACGATCCAGCCCCAGCCACCATCCGGGGGCTTCACAGGAGCTGGGAGCTGCCCTTCCTCTGGGTCAGGTCTCCCCATTGTCTAGCCTGGGAGGGGAAAGGCAGGCTGAGATGAGGTAGGGCAACAGAGAGGGAGAGAAAGAGAGAGAAATCTCCAGGCACTGCAAGAAGAGAAGAGCCAAGCAGACAAACATTTACTACAAGGTTTCTCTCCATGCCCACCATCTCCAAGCTCCGAGAGCCTCACTGGGGGGGCCACATCATTTCTCTGCACCTTCATCCTGCCAAGGCAAGGCAGGATTGCTTCGGAGTGCGAGGTCAAACCACAGCTGGGCAGAGGTGGGAAGCTCCCCCTGAGTTTGGGCAGCCCACAGCTCCGTAACCCTTGGTCAGATGCAGCCGAGCAGGGTCACAGCTTCTATCCAAGACCGGAGAGCTGCGTTTGACATTGGTGGGGCATCAGGATCTGCAGCACCTCGCTTGCTGCATATCCAGCCTTGCCTGCAGACTGGTGCAAGGTGAGAGCCAGCAATGTGAACCCCTTCGGGCTCCCAAGTTCTTCCTTTGAGCCTCTCCCGTCCCAGTCTGCTCCAGCTGGGAACCCTCCAGGACCTTCCGTGCTTCAGAAGCCTCCAGCAGTGAGGTACAGGAGATCCATGAAGCCCGCTGTGCTCTCCTCTGGGAGGCCCCGGTGCACAGCCCTCTCCCTCACCCTCCCTTCCCTGCCGTGAGGGGACAGATTTGGGAAATGGGTGAAGGGGGAGAGCACGGCAAACCATGGTTATTTGCATGCCAGAGAGATTAGGGTTCTGTACCTACATGGAGGGACCGGAACAAAGCCTAAGGGGGGAGAAGGAGGGAATTAGAGGGGATGTCTTGTGAGTCGCTCTTGGGGCTCTTAAGCTGCCCAGGAATTTTGCTCCAGTTGGCTGCTGTGGGTATGTTTTTCTGATTTCTCCCTCAGGCACCAGGTCTCTGCCACACTCCTCCCAGCACCATTGGCCTCAGTTTCTTGGTCAGTCAGGCTTATTTTCACACCTGTATGCAAAACCATCACCGGACTTTGATTACAGATGCTCTTAAGTAGCATCAGACAGGCATTAGAAAGCGGGGGGGGGGCTTTCTCCATGCCTGAGCTGGGCTTTATTGGGTCCGGTTTGCCCTACCACTGTCCTGATGGCAGTACACTCCCAAGGTGGGTCCTCTCCCCTCCCCAGCTCCCTTGGCTGAAGGACTAAGAGATGGTGGCAATGTCCCCCCAATATCCCTTGGCACTGGCATGTGTGGGAAATGCCATCAGTCACATACTGACTGAAGACTGCCGAGGGGACAAGGACATTCTTATGGACAGGACACACAGGGCTAGCACCTGGGAGTTTTGGATCTGGGTGCATTTTTCAAGGAAGTCCCTCTTCTTTGTGCCCTCCAAGCAATGGGGACAACTTGACCTGATTCCCATAGCTGCTGTTGCTCTGCATGTTAAACAAGTGCAAATCCTTTAGGCAAAAGTATGAGTGGCACAAGTTGGGGCAGAGCCCAGATAAAGGGCTCTTGCTTGGCAAGAGGCAGTCCTACCCCATGATACCCCTGAATCTTGCAGAAGAGGAGGGCAACAGCTCTTTCTCAGGCTGCAGGAGGTTCAACATGCAGAGACAAGGCTGGAAACAGGGCTGGGAATTGCTCTGAGAGGGGTCCAAAACTGTAGTGTAGGGGATGCTAGAAGAAGGACTTGCGTAACAAGACAACTAGGTCAGTTCTGGACCTCTCAGTAAAGGACATGGCACCTGTACCCACTGTGCATCAACATGAGGAGGCACAAAACGGTCTTGGCCAGTTGATTTTAGTCAGGTGCCCAAGCCAAGGTTGACCTGTGGAGGGAAGGGTGGGATTAGAGTCACCAGCTGCCCTCAGCAGTATCCCTCCTTCCCCTTCTTTCAGGACCCTTGATCCTGAATATTCAGGGGAGGTTGTTCAGTGCAGCACATAGGGATCTGCCACCACCATGGGTCCCTGCAGCAGAGCTCCCCAAACCTTCAGGACGCCGTCAGTCATTAAAAAATGAGCAGGATCTGGCTCTGAGCATGGATTGGGGCAGCTCTTCTGGATGGCCATATCCTAAGAGCTCTTGGGCTGAACCAGAGGGGCCAGCACTGGCTACTCCAGTCTCTCCCCTCCATCCCAGGTCTCAGGGACTGTGAGAAGGAGCAGAGGCATGAACTAAGAACACGGTGCTATAAAGACATTTTCAAGGCAAAGAATCATTGCAAGGAAGAAAAGATCAATTATACACTCTCCAGACTCCCATACCTCCCTGCTCGCACTCTTTCTAGTGTTATCTGGATCACTGGTGCCCAAACAGCCAGACTGAACAGTCCTGCTTAGCTTCTGCCCTTACCTGCCCGCTGCTCCTCTCCCTGACTGACAATCTAGGTGCAGCTGTACAAAAGGTGACCTGTTGCAAAAACACAACGATTTCTCAATCAGTGCTGGTGCTCCATTACTGCACCATCTGCTACACATAGCTACTCAAATAAGAGTGGCTACCAGAAAACATACCCTGAGCCTTTTTATCCAAGCCCCTCTCCCAGGCTCCCTCTTCTTGATCTCGTTCTGCACCACAAATGAAATGAATCAATCAAACCATTGCAATTCATTGTTTTTCCCCCCCTCCAGCTTCCTAGCAAGAAAATATTTGTCCATCTGTGGCATGCTCTTTGGAGATTTCTATAGCATCACCTGTCAATGATGAGTCAACAGCATCTGATTTCAAAGAGCACACTAGACAAATATCCATCAGTATTGTTTGAGTTTGGAGCCGGATGGGTACCTCTGCAGGAGCTACTTGCTCGGTGCTACAGAACCATACAGCAAAGCATGAAAGGGCTTTTACCTTTTTTCAGCTAGATGTTGGCTGAAAAAGACGAAATGCACTAATGAAGCTCACCCGTGGAGATGCCTCTAAAACGAATATGCTATATGGCACAGTGCTGCTGAAGATTTATCCCAGCTCTAAGCCAGGCAGTTCAGAGCTGCCTGTTCTTAACACCGCAGCACATACACTAACTCTTCTGCTCACAGCTACACACGGTGGTCACACCATGTACCCTGCACCTGCCTTTGCACAATTTACAGCTTGCTATTATTTCCTCCTCAGTTAAGGAGCTTTATTCACAGGTAAAAATACCACGTGTAGGTTCACATGCACCTAAAAGCTTATCAGCATGGGTGCCTGCCCTTCCCTGTGCGTGAGAGGTAACGGGGCCAGAGCAGGCACTGCCACAGAGCTAGCTGCAGGTGGGTGCCTGGAAAAAACTTGTGCTGACACCAGAAGTCACAAGCCCAGGTTGGGAGGGTGAAGGCCACAGCAGGTTCAGCCATAGCTGTCTGTCCCTGGACATGCACGGAGCAGCCAGTGCTGGACGATGCCCAGCAAAGCCCCACTCTGCCAGGCAAGCTGCATCCAGGAGGGTCCACATAAACGCTAGGATGGCTCCTAGCGCTTCCACACAGTATGGATTGGGGTGGAGCTGTCTGTTTATTAAACGCAAGGACCACAGTTTGTACCTCCAGCCTCCCCAGCCCCGGGAAAGCATTTGTTGGAGAATTAAACGAGTGCCGGCCTGGGACGAGCAGTCCCCTTGGCAGCCCGTGCCAGGACACAAGCATCCCTACACACCACTGACCTGCGCAACGAAGCAGTGACCTCCCAAGCACGGGCTGAGCCCCCGAGGGCCGAGCAGACCTGTCAGCAGAACTCCCTTCTCCCTCTAGCTGGCACTTCCCAGCTCCGGACGAGGATGCCTGGTTAGATGGTCCCGCTGGCTCCTTGCTCCATGGTGGGCACGCCGTCAGCTAGGCACGGAGCGATGCCTGCGGGAATCCAGCACTTGTCGAGCAGTTGCTTGTGCCCCAACTCCTTTCTTTGGGGCAACTACTTCCTCACTGGAGAGCTAATCCCCCTCTCAGCCTGCTTTCCTCCAGCTCCAGCGCTGCCTAGCAAAGCTGCCTGTAGCCGATCCGGAGGATGCCCCGTGCAGGGGACCCCCTTGTCTCCTGCGGGTGCAGGTAGTGCCCCACGGTGCTCCCAGCGTGGATGTGGGTCAGCAGCTGCTTATGGTTTCAGATCGGCAGAGACTGGCGGGTGCTGAGCGGGCAGAAAGCACTTCTCCACTTTTAAGAGGCTTTTCCAGCCAATGGGGAGGAGGTGACTGCCTGCCACGGCCCGAATCCCCCAGTAATCCTGCTGCCCAGGGGCTCCTTGCCTTTCCCCCAGCAGAGCAGGGCAGGCTAGCAGGGACAGATTCGGAAGGGCTGAGGCAGGAGGAAGCAGTGCAAGGGTAAGGGGTGCCGGTAATGGACCCAGATGGGAGGGAGGGACCCAGGGAGGGGGACGATGGAGGGTGAGGGCACGGGCCCATGCTTCAGTAAGGGGCAAAATGGGGGGAAGGGACTGCTTTCAAAGCCCCCCCCCACCACTTCCTCAGCCGTCAGCCTGAAGGATGGAGAAGCACTGGCATGTATTTGCAGGGCAGGCGCCCAGCAGAGGAGGAGGACAAGGTGGACCGGCTGAGGAGTTGCCACCAGCCATGGCTCAAAGCGCCAGATCCAGCCCATGCCTGGCAGCTCCCTAACCTCCCCCCGACAAAAAAAAAAACCCCAACCCCTGCTCAGCGGCTGCCACCCATAAAGGGGGCCTGGCAGGTGCCAGGGATGAGTCAAGCCTCCAGCCACACACGGGGGAACCTGTTTTACTTCCAGGGAGGGGGCACCCCAGGTGGGGTTTTGGGGAGGGCAAGGCCCATGGGCTCTAAAGCCCCTCAGCCTCCTGGCAGCCTGCAGGGGTTTTGTGATGTTCACAGCCGAGGTTTAATTTCTAATAACGAGGCTAATCAGCTAAAGCCCTGGCCATCGCTCGCTCGCGCTCCCTCCCTCGCGGGCACCCCCCTCTCCCGTGAGGGATCCCCCAGCACATCCCACCAGGGCGTCCGCGGTGGTGGTGGGGCCAGGCTGGTGGTCCCAGGCGAGTGTTTTTTCCCCCCCCCACACACACACACCGAGCAGCCCCGGGCTGCCCCTGGGGCACAAGGCCCAGCAGCGGGTGAAGACAAGATGGCCGCCAAGCCTTGTCCTGCGGGGAGGCCTGCCCACACATGGCAGCCGGGACGTGGGGGCCTGCTGCCCTCCAGTGGCAGGACAGCCATGAGGGGGGCCTGAGGGGCAGCCAGCAGTGGGTCGGGCAGCCCTCCTGGTGCCCTCTCCGCGTCCACGGGGGGGGCCGGTGGTTGCCCCACTAAAGCCACTTCACTGGGGCCATGGGCAGCCATCATGGCCCCAGTACTGGTGGGGACCCCACGTCCTCCTCCCCCTGCGTCCTCTGACAGAGGTGATGTGCCGGCCACTGGGATGGCTATGGAAACAGCGTTCTCCACTTTATTTAAAAAAAAAAAAAAACAAAAAAACCAAAAAAAACAACAACAAAATCTTTTCCCCAGGACAATAGATGAAGGAGCAGGACAGTGGCCCTGGGTGCTGTCGTTTGCCCCGGGGCTACCCAGCAAGGGACGGGGCTGCGCTGGGGGTGGGAATGGCAGATGCTGCTACAAACAGACACGACACGGTTGCCAAAGGGGCCAAGAGCAGAGCTGCACGCTGCCTACCCCGTCAGCTGGACCACATCGATGGAAGCCTTCTTGTGACCTACTCACTCCCTTTGGCGTTCGTTTTTCTGGTAGCAAACGGACTGTCTGGCAAGCGTCCTTCTCTGCCCACAGCAGGATAAGCAAAGCTTCGCCTTCGTCATCCTGGTAGCACTGCTCCATGCTGCGGATGATCTTACCCTTCTGTCCCTCCGCCTCCCATACCAGCAGCATCCCCTCTCCCAGGCCACCAGCACCAGTAACACCAGACTTCTCCCACTCAGGTACAGTAACATCACACAGGGAGGGGGAATGAGGGGGCAATCCAAAAAGAGCAGCAGGGATCTGCTGCTGGCTAAAGCACACCAGACAGCCAGGCGAGATGGGTCCCGATGTCCCGGAGGTAAGGGAGGGGAAAAGAGGGGTGACTCTGTGAGTGTTAGCACTAGGTTGCTGCCCAGCTGGGGGTCACAGCCCATCACTTGAATGCTTCCCCCTTCCCTGATGAAATTGTCCTCCGTCCACAGCCCCTCGCTTCATCGGATGATGGGTGCTGAGCGGTCGTTGGTGACTGTGGGACGCAGCTTGACTGTGGCAAAGGGGTTGGTACCTCTGCAAGGGGAAAGGAAACAGGCAACCGTCAGGAAATCTGCAAAGACCATGCAGGGGTCCCGCTGACCAAGCAAAGGCTGTTTAGTCCTGCCGGACGGCCACCTCCAGGCCGAGGAGGAGAGTGTGGTAAAGCTGACTGCTGCGTAAGTTTTCTCCCTCCTTAACACACCCTGCTGCAGGATCCCGTGTGGTTCCCCTTGGGCTCTCCTCAGGGCTTCTCACCCTCCGTCTTCCATAGGATGAAGAAAGGACACTAGCATAAGGCTCTCCCTTGCAGTAGCACTCTACACTGGTGGCTCCTGACCCTCCAAAAGCAAGGAGTCAGGAAGCAGAAAGAGGCCACAGCACCATGCCAGAAACATGGAGACACCAACCCAGCTGCAGGGGGGAAGGAAAGCAGGGATTTATGGCAAGTCTTATCTCCACAGACCTGACTCATCAAAGCTAGAAGACACGTCCCTTACGCCTCAGCCCTTTCCAGGCAGGCAGAGCTGCACATATCGGGTAGCTCCACGCTCAGGCTGCAAGCTGCTATTGTAGCTCTTCCAGAATGGATGGGAAGGCGCATGCAGGTCTGGCCATATGCTCAGGTCCTACCTTGTGTTACCAGAGGTAGGAGAGAGCCTTCCCAGTCAGCAGAGGTCAGAATGGCCCACCCTCTGCCTCCTGTCCTGGAAGGTGGGTTGTGCATTGCTTTCATCCAGACACTCCCCTGTTCCTCCCACATTTGATAATCCAAAAGGTTAATAGCACTATAAAAATGCCCTTTCGTATCTGATGATTCCAGAGCAGAGCTCCACACCTCACTCACCGTGGGAAGAGTTCAGGGGGCTGGTCAAATACTCCTGATTTCTGCAGTGAAAAGAAAGGCAGCAGTGAGCGATCTGGGATGGGGAATGGAGAGACAGATGTGGGGCAGGAGACAGCACACACACAGAGGAGTATTTCACAAAACACCCAAGTGAGTTAGGAGCCGAAGTCTTATTAACAGGCTCTGACTCCTTAGTCCTTCAAGCTTTGCAAAAGCCCATAAATCCACTGCTACAGATAACGCCCTGATTTCTGTGGTGAGGGGTTTTCCCTACACCACAGGTTCCCTATTCCCCTAGGACACCTCCCTTTTTCTTGGGGAAGAAAGGAGATGCCTCAGATCCCCAAAGTGTCATGTCTGAAGAGCACAGCAAACAGTGACAGTCTGAGCTACATTTCACCCTGCCAGCACAGCCAGAGATGCCCCCCTCATCTTGCCCACACACACCCTGGCAGAGTTTATCGTCAGTGCCCTCACATGCTTCCTGCATCCACAGGGAACTCAAATACTGTAGCTACCTACCCTACACCACATACTGCTTAAATGTGGACCAACCTGATGGAAGAAGATGGACCTAGGCCCTGTGGCCCTATACTTGGCCAGTAGAGAGTGACAACTGCCTGCTAAAGTATGCCAGTTTCTGTAGCTGGTGGCAAAGAAAGACACCATGTGGCTATCTGTATTCCAGTTGGGAAATCACACACACCCCCATTTGCTCCCGGCTCTACTGGAGGATGCCTTGGGCATAAGTTTAGAGCAAGGCTGAGTCTCTCCAAACTTCTCACAAGGCTCAGTCACTCTGCCATGGTACTCCAAATGCTCCACACACTTCATTGCTCAATCCCTACACCCTAGCCCTGGGACAGGATGGAAATCAGTGACCCAGAGCAAAGGGATAGGCTACAAAGCCTGCTCCCCTCTGTGTTGTGCAGCCTAAGGCTCCCTGAAACCACAGAGCAGGACATGAAGGGGAAAAAAAAAAAAGAGTAATCAAATGTTGCGTTTTCCAGTCCTTTGAGCCATCCAGTGACTTTCAACCTCGCACTGGCCTGGAACCGGCAACCAGAGTTGAGGTTTCCCAGCCTCCTACGAGACTGAGCAAGTAACAGCCCCTGGGCAGCACCATTCTCCCCTCTCCCAGGCCCTCGCCTTTAACTGTTCTCAACTTTAACTCTGTCCTCAACAGTCAATTCCCTACAGCTGAAAGCAGTGATAGGTGGAGGGTTTCCTTCTCAGTATGCCATCCATAAGCCATGGTTTGGACACAACATGTTCTAAGGCTCTCCAAAATGGCTGTGCCCTCAGCTTTGCCTCCAGTTTTGCCCCTGTCCCAGCTGTGACTTTAACCCCACCCTTGCTTGAATTTAGAAGAGGAGCCCTATGAAACTCCTCGCCATTCTCTGAAGGGAGAAGGATGGCATCTCTGTTAGCTGGTCACCCACTCCCAGCCCAGCCTGATCACTCCATGGTCCTACTATTAGCAGAAAGAGGTGCTGCCCTGGAGCCACCAGAAAGCGGGCTGGGAAGTCATGGAGAAAAGGACTGAACTGAAGGGTCCCTGGTGAGCAAAAAGAGAAAGAAATGAGAAGGCAGGGGCAGAAAAGCAGTCCATCGGGGGAGCAAAGCCAGGCACTGAGGTTCTGCACACACAAGGCTGACTGGCAGGAGCCACCAGGCCACGGTAGCATGTGAACAGAGCGGGTGAGAAAGGCCAGTCCTAATGAGACCCCTTAGCTCAAGAAGGGAGGAGGTCACACACCAACATCTGGAAAGTGTTCTTCTTTCTCAACAGAGCAATGCAGAAAAGGTATGCTTTGGAGGATGAAAGTCAGACGTGGCCCACGCCACACACACCCACCAGTCACTCCTGCACTCACCTTGGAGACGGAACTGACCGGGGTGGCCACCCCACTCTGGTGACTGCTGGCACCCACCGAGACAGGAGGCGAGTTCGGCAAACTGGGCTGGGCAGCAGCAGGCCAGTAATTGCTAGAGGAAGGAGTGCTGGGATGGTCCAGGATGTCATCCATACTGTGACTGCTTCGCAGTGGGAAGGACCTGAGCAAGAGGAGAAGACAGCTGGGTGAGAGCCAAAGAGCAAGGAATAGGGAGCGGCACAGGTGCTAGCCACAAAAAGTACGTATCTATGGGATGTCTCTGGAGAAAATACCCACGGCTTGGACTGGCCCAGTCACGGGCACCTTTGGGAAGATACTGCACGTGTTAGGGGAGCCATCGAGGGTAAGCCTGTGAGATCTTAGGGCACAGCAAGGCTCCCAGCAGATGCTCCAGCATGGGAATACCGCAGCTCTCCACAAGGCACACCCCAAACAGGTGCCCCACTGGTGTTAGTGACCTACCAGGAGCCACTCCAGCTCCTGCCTGGCCAATTGCTGTCCTCTTACCTGGTGGCTAGCTCCTCCATCTCCCTCGCATCCTCTAGAGGCTTGACATAAGCTTCGGGGAACCACCCGCATCTAGGGCACAGAAGCAGAGGTGGATGAGCTCCAGGCAACCAGGGTTTGTAGCTCTTTAGATCCAGCTGCCCAGCACTCCTGATCTACACCCATCCACCAAGCCGCTGCTGCCACTGCCTCGGTGTGACAGGGTTTCGGAACACCTTTCACCCCTAAGTGGGGCACGGGGTTATTGCCAGACAGTCCTTGAGCTTGGAGCAGGACTCGCTCATCTCAGAGGGCGTGCAAAATCCGTGCTCCCGTGAGCAACGCTGGTGCGATCCAGGAAGAGACGCTCTGACCGAGCACGGTCACCGAGGCCAGAGCACAAGGAAGCTGTGGGAATCCCTTCTCCTCAGGGCAAAGCAGCCCCACCCCCCACCCCCCCCCAAAAAAAAAAAGGCAGGCACTGATTTTGCCCATCCCACATCTGAGCATGAGCTTCCCTGCGGAGCACGGTGCAGGGATGCCGTGTGGAACAGGGCAGGCTTTGCACACAGGTGTTGGCCGGCAGCATCGCAGGGAGTAATTCAGTAAGCGCTGGGTGCAGCAGTTTCCATGCCCTGTCTGGGCTGGAGGGTGTGGTGGCAGTTGCGGTGTGAGCTGAGAAACACCAGGCCTCTCAGGTAACTCCAGCAGTTCATGGCCCTGAGCTGGGTACCATGACAGGAGTCACTCAGCCATGCAAGCCGGGAGGGGGTCGCGACGTCCCTTGGCTCTTCTACCCAAAGCCCCTGGAGCTTTTTCAGGCAGCTCATCCACACTCGCCCTGCCTCACCTCCTCAGCTCGAAGAGCCCCCGTGCTAGGCACAGCCCGTGACTGAGCACGTGCCGATGCCCCACGCAGATGGTGGGTGGGACACAGTGCTCGGGTCACGCGGGGAGATAATTTTGGGCTTAAGCCTCCCGGCTCCAGACCCAACCAGCCTACAGCAGCCTGCCAGGCTGATTTACGGCGCCGAAGTCACGTACGTGGCGGAGCCCTCCAGCTTGCCGTACAGCCAGCCGTTCTGCGCGTCCGGCCTCAGCACCGTGATGACGTCCCCGGGGTCGAACCGCAGCAGGGTGCGGTTGGCGCCCGCCGCGTGGGGCACGATAGCCTGCACTCTCGCCGTGCCGTTCCTCTTCCTGGCCTCGCCACCGCTGCCGGCCTCGCCGAAGGAACCCGAACGGGAGGTACGGCTGGTAGGGAGCAAACCTGCAGGGAGGCATCCCAAGGGTCTGGCTGGAGCCTGGCATCCTCCTGCCAGACCCACGGTGCCTCGAAGGGACCAGCGCTTCCCTGGTCAAGGAATTACCTCGGAGGAGTAGATGGCCTTTCTCTGCGGGCAGAGAGCAGGGCATGGCATGGGAGAGGGTAAAACGTTCATCTTGCAGGAGGAAATCAGCTCAAGCTGAAACCTTTTGCTTTGCACTATGTCCTCTTTGGCTAGATGGCTGGGGGCACAGGCACTGCCTGCTAAATGACTGGCTGATGTCCCTCTTCCCAGCCCTGCTAGAGCAACTGAGAATTTGGGTCGTTTTCCTTTCCTCCTGCCCGCTTTTTTATTAAACATTTTTAAGCCGAAATTTGTCAGGAAGGTAAAGCAGGTGAGACATGAGGTAACTGGCTGGGTTTTGTAGGGCAGGGCAGTATTTAATCTGGTAGTTCAAGGGAAGGTGCATTACCTAAATGGGAACTCCAGTAACAGCTAGCCCTCTCGTGGTTCAAGGAGCCTTGAAAATTGCACACCCATGGGTTCCCCCCCCCACACAGCCAGCCGGGAGACCTGGCCTTGTCCTGAATGAAGCCTGCTCAGAAGGTTGTGTTCACCCCCTCCTTCATTCAGCCTTTCCTGTACGCACTGTCCTCTCACCATGCCCAGGAACGTGGCCGAGGACAGGTGGTTTGACAGAGTGGTGGTCCCTCCCCACATCCAACCCTGTTTCCAGAAAGGCCCACCCGCCGTGTCTCCCCCCAGCATTGCTCCCAGGCATGGGTCATACTGGCTGATGGTGTCCTCCGCAGCGTCCGCCTGGGGGCCTCTGGTTGAGGAGACAGTCTCATTTCTGGAGTATCCGGAGAGAAGATGCTGGATCTACTCCCAGTCATGGGAGAAGCAAAGTCTCCAAGGGGTCGCTGGGGCTGCTGGAAGGAAAGGGGCTGTGTTCAAGCAGGAGATGCTCTGAGAGGTACCCAGTCCCTCTCAGAAAGCCAAACCCAGCAACGTTCCCCCATCACAGCCCCCCCTCACACACACTTCCCTTCATCTTGGCCAGGAAAGGCCACGGGAGCTGGGCAAGGCAGCAAGTACCGCAGCCAGCCAAGGACTGGCCTTGCCCTGCAGCCTGAAACGGGCAGCTGCAGCCTCACCGCCACCGAGGCAGAGGCTGTCTGTGGGCTCCTCACCATCTCGAGGTGGGTGGGGGTGAGCCGGCCTGATGGATACCCCTGGCCATGGGGGGCTGTGAGAAGCCCCTGCGAGTGGCTGGCGGAGGGGTTGCGGCTGGCCTCCAGCTGCTCCTTCCACTGCGGCGCCTTGGTCTGGATCATACTCCGAGCCTGGGGAGAGAGAGAAGAAGGGGCGATGGACAGGGCAGATCCGCTACAGAGGCAGCCGAGGGCTGCCACGTCCATTAGATGTGGGACCAGGTCCTCTCACAATTAGGTTTGTGGGAACGGCCAAACAGAGCCCCCGCCGGAGTGAATTTCTAGAGCCTAGTCCTAATGACCCTGCTATAAACACCTACTTCACCCTTCCCTCTCCCATCGCTCACACACCCAACTAACCCCGCCGTCAGCACCATCCTCAGTCCCAACCGTGCTCTCCCAGCCTAGTACAGCCAGCCTGGACCCCACAGCAAGAAATGAAAAAGTTTCCTGCCCAGTCCATGCACAGATGCTGCCTTCCTCCAAGGAGGGATTTCAATCCTGGCTCCCTCCTGCCTGCATGCTCCCCCCTCCAGCCATGCTGCCTGCTGCCCCAGCTCTGCTCCCCAGCACACCAGGGCCATACCCTGCTGTAAAACTGGAGGAGAGTGTTGTAGAGCATCTGGTGCTTTTCAGCCAGGAAGCGGTAGCGGCGTTTCTCCTCCAGCTCGGCCTCCCTCTGGCTCTCAGAGACGAACGCCTGCATCTCCGAGCGCAGCCGCATCACATTTTCCTGGGCCACAGGGGAAAGAGGGAGGAAGGGATCAGCGTAAATCCAGCAGAGTGGGCTCACGTGTGGCAGGGGAAGGGTTGAAACGGGTCGTTGTGTCTCCCAGATTCCCAGTCCACTCGCAGTGCTGGCGTGGCACCGAGGAGCTAGAGCAGAGTGCCAGGGATTAAGTCCTTGCGCACTGAGGCTTGCTAAATGAGGAAGGGGCCTGGCAGAAGCAAGCACCACAGGTCAGTAGCACCCTGTAGAAAAGGGGTTTCCTCCTTTCCAGATAAGCCAGCTGCCTTTTGAACATCAGGGTCAACCCCTTTGCTTTTAAAGAGGGACAATGATTTTGAGGAATCAGCCCCGGCTCCAGAGAAACCATCCAGTTCTTTTTCCAGCTCCCTTTCCTTCAATCACTTCACACCTTCATCTCCCGGGCGTTTTTATCACGGGCCCTCTCCATTCTCCATAGCTCTGCCATGCACTTATCCAAGTTGGTGGCTCTGCGCTGGTACTCCATCTCATATTGCTTCTGACTCTCCTGCCAGGGAAAAACCAGGCTCAGTGAGGAACCAGAGACCCAGCCACACTGTGATGCAGCACAGGTCCTGTTCTGATGGGTGGTTGAACATCTAAGTCCCTCTGAAATCAGGCTTCACCTGGACCTCTTATAAATAGTCCTTCTTTGCCTTTTTTTTTTTCATTTTGAACAGCCCCAGAGCGCTGATGAACCTCAAGAACTCAGGAGAAAGAACTGGCGCCCAGCTCCACCAGCACTGGGAGGAAGCCCCCAGGCCTCTGTCTCCCTCCATGACACTACCCACCAGTGTGGCACAGGACCCACTCCCACGCAGAGGCTGCGGTTTGGGGAAGCTGGGAACTCTGCTTTTGGGATGCCGGGTCTCTGAGTGCCATTGAAGCGTTTGGCAAGTCCCACTGCACAAAGAACAGTCCCCTGCCCTCTTTAGCCCTCCATCATCAGCCAAACTTGGCGGGGGGGAGTGTTGGTCCATGACAGGAGAAGAAGATAACCCCCCCCTCTAACTCCTGCTGAGGAAAGTCAAGGAAACACCTCAAGTGCTCAAGCAAAAGCCCTTGCGGGGAGTGGAGAGAGAAATGAGTGTTGAGGAGGAGAAGGGAGTTCAATCACTCACACTGATGAACTGCACATCCATTTTGGTGTTCTTCTCCATGTGCTGCAGCAGGTCCACGTGGAAGGTCTGAGCCTGGAAGAGGTGAAGGAGCCATCACCCTCGTCCCTTCACCATACGGTGTGTTACACGCACTGCGGTGAGGGGCAGCTCGTAAAACCTGTAAAGCTAGTGACTCTCTTGCTTCCTGGGCCCCCTACAGAAGCCAGAAATGGGCACATCGGGGCTACCATGGAGCAGCCAGGCAGCCTGGGGGTCAGTACTCGGCACCCCCCGACCCTCAAGCTTCGGCACGAGCACAAACTGCAGTGTCTGGAAGGGTTAGCATCCCCTCCGCTCCTGTCCCACCGCCGCCACCCAGGGAAAGAGAGGACAGCCAGCCTCGCAGCTTTGTCAGAGCCAGGCATCGCTCGGTCTGCTGCGTACCTGCCACCGTGCCCACGGAGAGGGGGTGACAGCCCACCTATGGCACCAAAGGTGCAGCACCGGCCAGGCTCTGGGCGTGCCAGCTGTGTCACCACGCCTCTGTCACACGCAGCAGGGATAGGGAGGAAGGCAGCTGCCAGCAGGCGTGTGAGAGGGCAGGAGATGGGGCAAACGCTGGCAAGCGGTGGTTAAGGAAGTCCCGTTTTCCTCCCCCCCCCCCCCAGCTTGCATCAGCCCTCAGGAAAAGCCACTCACCACAACTTCCAGATCAGAGCTCAGGAGTCTCTGCGTGTCAGACATCTGCATCAGAATTTCACCTTCAGGGAAAGAGACAGGAGAGGGTAGAAAAATCCCGTGGCCATTTCCTTGTGTGCCCAAGAAGGCAGACCAGCAGTGCGCAGCTCAGGCTGATGATAACACGGGTGTGAAAGTCCAACAGATAGAGCAATACACTGCTCTCTGCACCCTGAGAGAGGCTGGGAGCCTTCCTCCCGGGGGGGTCAGCTCTACCACCCCTCCCCAGGCGCTGCAAACGAGGGGTTGTTCCAGCCCACCAAGCTGCCAGACCAGTAACTCTGCTACAGCCCCAGGTGCCAGCAGGCAGCCTCGGCTCTGCCCTGCGCTCTGGGTGCTGGGTTTTATGCTGCCACAGCTCCTACAAGCCCCATTTCTAACCCCAGTGGCACCTCAGCTGAGGTGCATGGTTCTGGCTGTCTTACGGGAAAGCAGCTACAGCACCCGCTGCTGATGCTGTGCACGGGTCCCGCTTCCCTGGTGTTGGTATTATGAAACCAGGAAAGGAAGAGACTGATGACGGGGAGCAGGGGAGCGAGCTGGGTGGTGGAGATGATGATAGGAGTCTGCAGAAAGGACACATCTGCTGGAAGCTTTTTCCTAGAAACTTTAGTAACGGTAGAGCAGTTCCCTGAACACATTTTCAGCAGCCATCATTAGGCTGCAGAATTATTTATGCTGCTGAGTGTGAGACCCTCAGCTCCAAGCTGCCATTTCAGCTGGCTGCAGGCTCAGGAGGAGCGTAAGCCCCATCAGCTGCTGCCAGACCATGCTCTCCAGATTTTCCCTCACACTTGCCGGGAGGAGCAAAACGGTTCCTCCAAGCTGAAAACTTCAGCTCTCAGGGCAGGATTCCGCAAGCAAGAGCTGGTTTCCAGGAGAGGTTCATTGCTAGAAGTCCATCCCAAGAGCTCGGCTCGGTCACTGATCTCAGAGAGATACAGGGCAGAGCGCTGGGGCCATGGGGGATATTCAAGGATACACAATAAATGTGACTCTCACTGCTTGGACAGGGCCTGGTGCTGTGAGACACCATTTGGAGGAGCTGTCTTCCTTCTCCCCAACACCTGGAAAGGGACCAGCTAAGGGAGGAAGGCCAAAAACATGTAATTGTGGCTCATCACCGGACAGAGGATGGCGAGTGGGAAAGCCTTACCCAGCATGTGTGAAGTGGAGCTCTGCAGCGCTTGCTCCCCAATCTTCTCGATCGCCTTAAAATACACTTCAGCTGCTTTGGATAATGCTGTGAGGAGAGGAGAGGAGAGGTAAGGACCTTCCCACCATCATCAGCCCTAGCAAGAAGCTCACAGGACATCCACCCCGTGGTACCTCGCCTGTAGGCAAGGGTACCCAGCCTCTCCCCATCTGTGCCTAATAACAGCAGCGCGTTCCGGAGCAGATGAGTGCTTAAGGGCAGCCCAGGACACGTCAGGGGCAGGGACCAGCAACCTTGTCCTTGGGTGAGGGCACAGCGGACGCCCAGGAGGGATGCAGCAGCATGGTCTGGAGCTCTGGCTATGCAGGACCCCACTCACCATGGAAGGCACGCAGGTAGTTGTTCCCCAGGTACACCAGGTTCTCCAGCGCGGGGTTGAACTGCTCCAGGATACTCTGCGGCCAGGCAGAAGCACGTTAATGCCGGTCTTCCCCAGGCTCCAGAGAGCTGGGCAGGTCAGTGCCCTCCTGCTGCAGTTTGGCTGGGTGCAGCAGGGAGCCAAGGAGCTCCCCCAGCCACGATGCCGGACGGCCGTGGCGATGTGCAGCCACGCACAGTCAGCTCCCTGCATCGGAGGTAACCGGGACCTTCGGCTGCCCCGAGCTCTCTCCAGCCAGCCGGGAGAGGCCCGATGAATGGAAGGCAGCCCGCTGCAGAGGCAAGCGGTCGCCTGAAGATGGCTTTCTCCCAAGGCCCCCCACTCACTGCAAAGGGGATCTGAGCAACCTTTTCCCTCACCCCCGAGCCGACCAGGGTGAGGGCCACCACTTCTTATCCAGGCACGAGCACCGCTTTTTCCTGGCCAGGACGTGGTGCACCGCCAGACTCGGCAGCTTATAGTAAGAGAAGGGATGGACTGCTTCAGACCAGCCTCTCCACTCTTACCTGCTGTATTTATCAAAGGTGTTTATCGCCTACAGCAGAGCAAACCAGAGGCTGGAATAAGCAATTCCTCCTTCTGCCAGCCCTCACCACCTTGGTCCGGCACCAATGTGCGCAGGGAAGCGCTTGTGAGATCAGACTGCTCTTTCCAGCAAGTGGGAAAACACCTGACTGAACTCCTTCTTCCTACCAGTAAACGAGACGCGCCACCCTTCATGCTCCATGTCCAAACCACCATGGTTGCCCAATTCCTTCCTGGATCTGCCTTAAGACCCACATCACCCTCCCCTCCTGCCAGCCATCTGCTATCAAACACAGCCCAGAGCCCACAGGAGCTGCTGCAGTTCAGCCTAGGGATGGATCCAGCCCGTGGCTCTCCACCCAAGGGAGCTTTTGGCAGAAATCAGCTCTTCTCCTTCCACCCACAGGTCCCCCCACCCCGCCCCCAGGCAGACAAGAGCAGCCTTCGGTGCCGGCGCTCACCTTGTAGATGGAGATGGTGGATCTGTAGGACAGGTCCATCTCTGGAGCCTTTTCTCTCTCCCACAGAGAAGCAAGTTGCAAAGGAGAGCACAAGGTGCTATAGCGACCTGGAGGACTGTGCTTCTGCACAGCCAGCTGGATGGAAAGAGCCCGTCCCTGGCAAGGAAGGAAGGACAGCAGAGAGACACAGACGTGGTACAAAGGGAATGGAGCGCTGCCGGAGTTTAATAATTCACCAGCCCAGAGGCTGGAACTTGATCTCTGGAAGTAACCGGACTCTGGGGAGAGAGGAATCCTGCGACAGCCAGCAAGGGCATGTGACTGCCTCCTTGCATTATTGATCGCCGGCCGGGTACCCAGCTCTCCCTGCCCTGACACCCGCAGAGCCAGCCACCTGCCAGAGTAACGCCCTACGGCTCCCTGCCTCCGGCACTGCCACCGCTCGGAAGTGGCTCGTTGGCATCTTCAGGTTCCCCCCCCACCCCGCGCACAGCGCCTTGAGATCACTGGCAGCAAAGAGCAGGGGCAGGGGGGAAACGTAAGGAAAGCTCAAAACGGGTTGTTTTACCTCTTCCCTGCCCGCTATTCTCCCCTCAGAGCCCTCTGGCTCTTCGCCTCCCTCCCACTCCGAGTCTCTAGTGAGACGCCCCAACAGCAGGCACAAGCTCCTGCTCTCCCCACCGGCGTGCGAGGAGCCCGAGCACAGCCTCGCTCCGGGGAGTCCCTGCAGGTGGTGCAGACTCCTAAAGAGATGGGGAGAGTGCAAGCCAGGGGCAGAAAGCAGAAAGGAGCTCACGTTCTCTCCCTCTCAAAGCGTGGAATTCTGTTTTGCCACAGGAAGGTAAGCCCTTCCATTATGTAAGAAAAAGAAAACCTTTACTCCACATTAAAAGCCTCTTAATTCCACAATCTCGTTTGTGAAACTGAAGATCAGAAAGCAGATAATCAGTTTTTAGCCCTATTGACTCAGCAACCATGCTCCTGCCAACGGCGTCCCTTAGGAACCAGTGGGCACCAGGTCCAGCAATCTTGCAGCAGTTACCTTGCCCAGGAACTACCCCGGGATACTACAAGTTAAAACCCCACCTCCAGCCATTCGTTTCCCGAGGGTCTTCAGTGTTCCTCTTTTTAGGCCAGACCAGCTCCAAAAGATTCTCACGTGGGAGCTGAGCCAAAGCCTCTCCCCTGGCTGCAGCCGGTAAGCCTTGTGCTTCGTGGGACGGCCAGCCACTCGCACCACCCACGCGCTCCCAGGGCTGGCGGCAGGGACAGGCCACTCACCTCTTCACCCCATACAAAGGGTTTAATAACCCTGTGTCTCAAGGACCCCAGCTCCTGATTTTCTACCTGTAAGAAATATTCGGAGGCTGCAAGCTCAGAACCCCTCTGGGACTCTGTAGGATGGAGAGAGAGACAAGACAACCACGGAGTGCTTGACAGGGGAACCAAACGCAAACCTCTCTTTATTTCAAGTCGTGTTAGTTTTGCATAGAAGCACTGTTCACAACAACAGTTCATCCAGTCAAAAGCAAAGGATTAAGAATTCCGTTTTTCAGGTGTCTCCTCAAAACACCTCCAAATAGATACACATATTATTTATAAATATGAAAATTTACTGCAGAAACATTGAGTACTGTAGCATTCACAATGGAATTTCCAGCAGTAAAAAAGGCAAATCCAAATTGTCACAGCGTCAGCTTCTTTGGTGGGAACTGATCTCAAACCATTTCAATTCCACATTAAGAACGAAGAGAAACAATCTCTTTACCAAGCCAAGGCTACTGTCCCTCATCTTGAGCTTGCTGCGAGTAAGGACGGCAAGCCAGGTGGCATAAAACAGTCTGGGGGGGGCTGGGGAGTGGGGGGGTGTCTGCTCCCACCCTGGGCGCAGTCGGTAGGCGTGTTGCCAGCCCATCTCGGAAGGGAAAGAAGGGGAAGGTGCTACAGAAGACAACTGGCTCAGGAAAGGTTCCCCCTTCTCCCTAGGCCGGTCACAACACCGAGCGTCAGATCTGCCGTGGAGATTTCTGCTCCCCTTCAAACAGGGCGTGTTGAGGGAAGACTAATCCCTTTTCCCCCCAATCCTATAGGCTCCCAAACACCACGGCCCCAGTAATCACTGAAGTTTTATCCGGCCTTGGCTCATGCTGCGACATGGGAAGGTGCACGGTGCTTTGTCAGTAGAGGTGCTGCACAGACCGGAGACAGACTCTGGGCTGCTCCAGCTCAAGACAGGTAGGTGGGGGCTCTGGCTTCGGGGAAGGGCCGTACAGTCAGATAGCAGGACAGCAAAACTGAGCACAGCAGCAGAGATGGGGCTACAGTATGAAGATAACTGTCAGCATTTCACAGCTGTCTGGGAATACATGGGGTGTGTCCTGGAATACACGTATATAGGTACTGTTGTCTACTACGTATCATTAATTCCTCATTAGTAGTAGTAGTCTCCCACCTCATCACCTAGGTCCAAGGGCAAAACGAAGCCATTTCAGTGTCTGCTGCTCCTCACCACTGGGATGCAGCACGGGAACCTCCAGCTCCGTCACCGGGAGAGGTGTCGCACCAGCTGCTCAAACTGCTCCCGCTGCTGGTAGATGTAAAGCTGGGTGTCCCAGAGAGCGTTCACCAGCACGGCGTCGTTCACCTCGTCCAACATCACGTCCTTGTGCAGCTGAGGGCTGAGCCTGCAACCCAGCAGGAGAGCGTCACCGGCTGAGCGCCGGCGCGGCAAAGGCAGCGGCGAGCCTGCCCAGCACAGGACTTGTGCTAAGCGGCTCCCCCCGGGGTGCTCACTCCTCGCCCTCCCCTCTGGCAGAGCCAGGAGGTTGGGGGGGGGGGGGGGGGGGGCCTTCCCCCTCCTTCGAGGCCCAACCCAGGTCAAGGCCGAGCCACAGTTCAGCAACTGCGCCGCCCAAGGCAGGAGCCTCGAGACACGCTGTGCGCGGCGGCATAGGGCAGGATGCACGTCCCCAAAGGACCCTGTTAGACAGCAGCCCCCCCCCCCCACTAACTGACCCCAGACAAAACACGCTCGGTGCTTCAGGTCACACAGGGGGCCGTGGGTCCTTATGTCACCGAGGCACGAGGGGGTGGGCACGCCTCTGGAGGGGACGCTATTTGGGATGACGCGTGCCGCGGCCCGATCTGAAGCAAGAGGGATAAAAATAGCTCTGTGCAGAGAGGGGAGAGGAAGCTCCTACCGGAAATACGGGATATCCGTCATCTCGCACCAGGCCCTGGCACGAGCCACAGCCGGGCCGTCTGCGTCAGTGCACTGCGGGAGAGACAGGGCCGGGGTCAGAGCCTGCCACGCCGCTCGCTCCTCGTCCCCCTGCCTGCAAGACCCTGGCACCACGTCCCAACTGCACAAGCCACAGAGGGAGAGGGAAAACCAGGAGCAAGTGCATCCTGGATCGCACTGTTCACCACCGAGACAGGGGTGGCTTTTTATCTGTTTTTCTGTGTTTTTGGTTTTTTTTTTTTTTTTGGTTTTGTTTCTGTTTTGTTTCAATTTTTTTTTTTTTTTTTTTTTTTTTTAAAAAAAACATAAGAACAGTGCTCCTGATTCTTGGGACACAGGATGGCCCCCTACAGATCTTCCATCCATTGCAGCACTGAGTGAATTCCCTTAAAAAAACCCCCCAGGACGATCTCAATCACAGCCTCCTTGGCTTTCCACCTCTATCGATTTCTGTCCAAACCCAGTACCAGCAGCGCCTGTGGTTATCACAGGCTTTCTGGGCTATCCTGGCCCAGCTTCCCTGGAGCCCTGAAATGAATGACGGGAAGCAGAGGGACCTCTCTGGGTATTTTCTGGCTTTAGGAAGCTAAAAAGAGATAAAGCAACAGAATTAAGATTATAGTCAGAACCTCAGTTCTGACTTTTATGGCTTTCATTCACTTGGAGTGTTTTCATGCACAACATTTAACGAGCTTCTTTCTGAAGCATGCAAGAACGTATATGCCCATTACACACTCCTAACCACAACTCTGAACGACTGCTTTTTATTAGTGATACTCCCATTTCTCTAGCATTTACTGATTTCCCCATTGGGGATAACAAAGCTTTTCTAAAGAAAAATTAATTGCTGTTTTCTGAGGCATGATTTTTTTTTTTTTTTTTTAACATTCAGGTTGCTCAGATAACAATCAGTGCTCCCTGGAAAGATCCTGCATTTCATAAACTCACGCCTGCAAATGTTCCTACACTACACTGACCACCGTCCTGTCCTCAGCTTCTTTCAGCTGCAAGAATCTCCCTTGGCACTCAAAACCCCCAAAAGGCAGGCAGGGCTTCAGATCTGCTGTGCTCCTGCAATTCTGAACTGCTACGTCCATTCCTTGAACTGGCCACAGTCGGAGCAGTTCCAAGGAAATACAATTTTCTTCCAACGGGAAAAAGCTGAAGAGTGGAAAGCTTTGCTCCCTCCCTACAAGCAGCCCCAGGCATCTTCCCCCATCTCCTCCTCCTGGTACTCACACAATCCACCACCATCTTGCCAAGCTCCCTGGCCCCGAAGACGGTCTTTGCCAGCTCCCAAGGGTTGGAGGGACGGAAAACATCCACAGAGCTCACTGGGACCTGCGGTGGCTTCCCTGTCCCCAGGGAGACCACCAACCCCAATTTTCTTACTTCCTGCCTCCGACCCTGTGGACAACCAGAAGGTTTATTTGCAAGGACCAACAATTAAGGCAGAGCATGTCTTTCACGGCAGTCTTGGGGAATCTCCGAAAGCCAAAGGCTCAGTAGCCTTTTCTCTCCCCCATCCTCCCTCTTCAGTACTGCCCGGCGAGACGGGTCTAATCCGCTTGACCTCAACAGCTGCACTGTTCTGTCCCTTACACCCCAAACTCATGGGATCACCCCAAAGAGGAGTCCTAAGACCAGATGCCTGTGAAATAGTCCAAACTCTTTTGGTTGTTTTGGCAACACACCTCCCCTTTCAGCTACACGAGGCAGTGGCTGCCAGTAGTTAAGTCATCTTTCCGAGGAACCGGCCCCAGCACGGTCTTCAGCCTCGCAGAGTGCTACCAATGCCTTCTCCATTTCTTTCTGGGCAGAAAAAGGCCCTGCAGAGCTCCATCAAGGCTCACACACAACCGTCATCTGAATCATCCTCGCCCAAAGCCGCAAAGGCAGGCCGATGGGGTTGTCTCACCCTTGTCAGAAGAGATATTTCGCCTTTCAACCACCGCTCCCAACACGCATCCCTCTCCATCCACCCCCCCTCCTAGGGCGCCGCGCTGCTAATTTGTTTTATCGGCTAGAAAAGCATCCTTTCCCAAACCCCTCCTCCCCACCAAGCGAGGCTCACTGGAGCCAAGAAAGCCCCGGTTACCGGTCAGGGCCGGGCTTTCCCTCACCTTCCTGAGCAGCGTTTTGTTGTACTCGTGGATCTCCGCCATGGCGTCGAGGGTCGGGTTGTTGGCTAGCAGCCCGCCGTCCAGGAAGCGGCCGATCGGCCGGAAATAAGTGGGAGCCGCGCCGCTGCAGCGAGCCGCGCGCCACACGAGCTGGTCTGGAGGGAGAGAAAGGAGACGGCCTCTCGCCGCAGCTTCCCTTGCGTGCCAGAACCCCGCCTTCGCCAACACAAAGCAGGAGGGCTTGCAAACCCCGCAAGGCCTTGCCCGAGGTAGTTGCGCCTTCCTCCCAACAGCAAAGCCTCTGCTTGGATGCACAGGATTATTTGGGGGGGGGGGGGTGGGGTGGTGGCTTTTAAAGATGTTCTCGCCGCTTCCTACACATCCTAGGTCAAATTCACTCTCTACAGGCTTTGCTGATGCTTTTTTTGAGGGTGAACCGGTTATGGTTGCTAGAAAAAGAAAGAAGCAAGCAGGCGGGGGGCTGCATGCTTCAGTTACACAGCTTTTCCGTGTCAATCTGCTTCTGAGAGCCCAGGGAAAGGTGCTGACTGTACGCAGGGCTCCTCTAGCAGACCCCTTCCTCATGAACCTCGCTAGCCAGCCCCTGTTCCTGGTACAAGAGAAGCCAATGGAAGAGGAGAGAGGAGAAAAGGGAACCGTCACTAGGACCGAGCTACAAGTCAGGATCAGGGGCGAGCCATTGCTGGGACATCCCCGAGTTTCAGAGGAATGAGAGGAAGAACAGGACGTTTTCTGTCTCTGAGGAACGGCCCCCTGCCCTGTCAACCAGGTGAACTGCTGTGTGCCAGCGTTTACCTTCTGGCTGAGTGAGTGGTTTGAAAGATGCACTTGTCTTGTATTCAGTGGAGGTTTTTGTCTCTGGTACGGGGTAATTCCGGAAAAGGTGGAGCTCAGCTGGCTGTCGGTCACACAACGTCCCTGTCACTATAACCCTAGGAGAGAGGACATGACAGAGTAAGAGTAAAATGGAAAAAAACAACGTACTTACGGCTTCGGTAGCCTGCACATCACACTCCTGCAGATCTGCTCTAAGGAGAGGCTGAGCACCTCTGCTGAGAGGGGTCTAGAGCACACTCAGGAGAGCATCAACAAGCGCAGCTTCAGGCAGGACTTACTTGGGTTTTTGGACATCTGTCATTTTGGTGTTTTCCCCAAACTCCTTCTTCAAGAACTCATCCAGGGGCTCTGACTCGTAGGGCCGAGAGCCCTGGAACACCATGTCCTTCATGCGGAAGTACAGGCAGCGCATGTAGTCCATGGACTTCCCTGAGACAGGCAGCAGCGTTGGCAGGAGCAAGGGGTGGGAGGAAGGGCAGGCAGAACAAACAGCACATCAGAGCTGGGACTCTTCCAGGACCAGCGGGAGATGGGAGGTGTCACTCCCAATCCCATCCCCTTCCCAAGCTGCCTGTCACCTGCTCGGACCTCGGCAGCACGACTGTGAAGAATTAAAGAGGAAGGGCAGGCTTGGAGCGTACTTTCCCATTACCAGAAAGTGTCAACCACCTTGCTGTAAAACCCCCGTGGAGAGAGCAGGAAGAACAGAACATTGCACTCTGTCACCACGCACTTCCCCAAAACCCAGAAAGCTGCTCAAGGGCCAGCTGACAGGAGAAGCAAGCGCAAAGCCAGGTCTAACCTTCCCTTCATTAATGGACACCCCTTCCCTCCTTTGGCAGGGACGACAAATCTCACTCAGGACTCAGAGAGGCAGCTCCCACCCCACAACCGCTCCCCGCAGAGGAGCGCTCGGGCCCACAGGAGTGGGAAGGGGCCCGTTGTTTGCAGTGTCCTCACCGTGTACAATAGCCAAGGCCAAGATCCCCCCAGTGCTGGTCCCTGCGATCCAGTCGAAAATCTCACGAATGGGACGGCCCACAGCCTTTTCGATAGCCAGGAGGAGCTGGATGAGCACCAGGCCCCGGATGCCCCCTCCATCCAGGCACAGGAGGCGGTCGTGACTGGAGAGAGACAGGCATAGATGACTGGGAGCTGTGGGACAGCCTACAAATCACAGCACACCACGTGAGAATGCGGTCCTGGGGGTGGGGAAACTACACTGGTCACACTAACACTGCTGTGGACAGCGTAAGCAGTGAACAAGTAAACCCAGCAGTGCTTCCTCAGATGTAAATAAGATCAAAGCGCTGGTGCACTACCACTTGCTCTTTTAGCCACCTCTAACCTGTACACCAGAGAGACATTCACAAGCCAAAAATACATTCAAGTTCCTTATTCTGCAGTAGCAGATATTGCCTCATAAATAAAAATCGGACAGCCCTAAGAGCTCCTGCTAGCAGCACTTCAGTGCCAACCCTCCCTCCGCTCCGTGCAAGGTGAGGTGCAGGGACTGCCAAGGCAGTGCACAGACTGGCCAAGGTGAACGTCAGAGCAGAGCGCGGAGATGGGGAAATCACAAAACCAAAACAGTGTTTGGTGTCCAGCAGCAAAGGGGAGGGACAAGCGCAGGGGTTTCACCTGCTGAGGTCGGGCTCCACTGCAGCTCCAGGGCTGCAGGCAGGAACAGCCAGAGGTCATTTATGGGAACAGAGATTTATCGCACAGTTCTGGCAAAACTGCAACTTCAATGGACGTAAATGATGTTGCTCTGAGGATGACACACCCATGGGTGTGGGTAGGGAGAATTCACACACATGGATTTCATGTTCCTGTTGCACAGGAGCCTGGACAGAAGCTGTTCCTCACTTACTTTCTTCTGCCCTCACTGGGCGAGTCCACAACATCTGATGCCTTCAAAAACTGTCCAAGTGTTGCGGAAACATACAGAAGGTCCTTGTACCCTAGAGGGCAATGAACATGCAAAAGAAAAAAAAAGAAAAAATTAGAGACCACTTTCCTACCTGACCCCTCTGATGCACGCCTCAGACCGCTCTCAACCAAATTATACTTAACAAATTGGAAAACCTTAAATTATTCTTCCTACTTCCTCTCTGCCCCCAGAAAGCTTGGTCAGTGTACCCAAATCGCCCACCAGCATGGTAAACTATTTCCACCATAACCACAGAGAGAACATCCAACTCCCCTCCCAATCTCCCCGCAGGAGACACAAGCCATCTTACCCAAAGCCACCAGGTACCCCCCCCCAGATAACGCCGCACCAGTGAGGAGAAACCCCATCCTTTAGAGCAGGAAGCTGGAGATGCAAAGACAAAGGATTTGTAGAAGCAGATAATGAGCACAGCAGGAGAGAGAGAGAAGGCAGAGCCTAGCAGAGTGCCCACTACGCAGTTTACTGCAAGTCGTAAGATAAAACCTAAATCTACTCCTGCGAGGCAACCTAGACAGGAGAGCTGTGGGGACAGGGTGGCTTGTCATTACCCCTCAGCTGACGTACACCCAGGCCACCCTGGGTGCAGGGCACCAATCCAGGCTAGGTGAGAAGCCGGCCTGTGAAACCAACAGAAAAAAGAACAGGGGGAGAGAAGTTAAACAGTCCTGCCAGCACCCAGGGAGGAAGGTGGTTGTGGATGACAGTGGACATGGTGAGGAGTTTCTTCAAGGGCCAGAGTCCATGACGGGAAAGGGCCTTGTCCCATCACTGCATCTGAGCTGAAACAGAGCGGGGTTTGCCTTCACAAGGACACGGTGAGAAGAAAGTACTGGTGTCACCAGCCAGGGAGACTTCTGGTGACAGAGATGCACTCCAGGACCAGGGGTGGTGTGGGGGGGTGTGCTCTAGCCCCACAGGAGGGCCAAACTGAGAGTGGATCACAAGCAGCTGTTATCTGCCCACATGCCTCTCTCGAGAAGGTCAGAGCTTCTCTGAGCCAATTCACCCACTGCCCGCTCCGTAACCCCTCCCGCTGCGCCTGCCCGAGCTCTGGAGCTCCCCAGAGGAGGAAAGCCTGACACCTAGAATAGACCCACGAGCTTATTGACACATTTGGGGCAGTACAGAGCACAAGCTATGACAGAGTCTTCTATCTTAAGGTAGGTTTTTCCTATGCATAACATAAACCCTGTGACCATGGTTGCTTATCCTTGGGCTTCATCCCTTCCCTCTCCCAGCTGCTGGCCTCCAGGATCTGAATGAGTGACAATTCTAATTTCCTTGTGCCCAGCACGACACTGGGAGGTCCTCAAGGCAGACCAGCAAGTACCTCCCCTTCTGTACATGACCCAAAGCAGCACCTACAGGCAATCACGTCCTACAACTCTTCCAGAGGGGTGAGGGAATCAGTCTTCCCTTTCCTTTTTACAAAGCTGCATTGTATTGGGTCAATAAAACAAAAGTTTAGAGTACAAGGGTTTAGAATACACGCACATGAAAAGCAGAGAAAAGAGACAGGATCCTGAAACAGCTGAATGAGGACAGAATCACCAGAAACCAATAGCTAGCAGACAGTGTCCGGAGCACGGCGCATCTGAAGAAGAGATCTGAGACAGCACTGTGAAGCAAGAAGGGAGGAGAGCAAGGGAGGGCCAGGGAAGGCTTTACCTAAGCTGCTGAAGCTGCTCCGTGAGGAAGGTTGGCCTTCCAGGAAGGAGGCAGCTGACGGTGCCAGGCGTGCGGAGTCAGGGTTGGGTGGGTGGCAGCGTTCGGTCCCTACAGATTGCAACAGGTCTAAGAGCACTTTCCGGTTCACACCTTGGGTGGCGAAGGGGGAGTCACAGATCAGAAAGAGAATCAGCTCACGCACACGGCGGGGCTCCGCCAAATTCACAGCAGCCCTGACCCTCACAAAACCTCTGAGATGACTTGGGGAAGGGGAAAGCCTGTCCCGGGTACCTCTCCCCGTACACCAGGCAGCAGGGCTCGCGCACAGCAGGGGTACCCAGTGCTGTGCAGCTTCTAGGGTGTGTGCCACACACTTCTTGCCACCGAAGAACCGCCCGTGTCTGCTTAGGCCTGGGTGGCTCAGCAGCACTGCAGCACCCCGTTGTGAGCCTGCAGTGCCTGACGTCGTGGCTGGAAAGGGGGGGGAGCGCGTGCCAGCTTTTCCTCTTCCACCCCTGTCTCACAGGGGAGAAATTCATCAAGGGCTATTAATACAAAGCCTACGGCGCTAGCTCAGGAAGTGCCTACCCTGTGAGCGACTAGAAGCTGGGAGAGCATGTTGGAGGAGCATCACCCATGCTCGGCACGTTTTCACCTCTCCCCAAGACACTGTTTTGGCCACCAAGGGGAAACAGGAGCCTGGGTTCACCCTGTAAGGCCGCTGACGTGCTCCCTCACCTTTGCTGCTCCTGGCTGCCAATAGCCCCGGCGTTTCCCCGAAATCATTGGGGATCTCGACGTCTCCTCCAAACACGACAATCGCTTTGATCATATCCAGGTGGTCATGCTAGGGGACAAGAGAAAGCTCAGTCAAGAGCCACGCTCCCCTTGGCTACATGATTTCTTATTCCCTCCGTCCTCTTTTCGTTAGCCAAAACACCCACAAGGGGTCACCCCACGAAAGACAACAGCCAGAATTTCAAAGGAATGTGTCCCTGCCTCAACCCTTCGAGAATATCCTCTCTCCTCCCCAGCAGGCTCTGCAGAAAACTCACCTTCATGGCCAGGTGCAGCGGTGTGTTGCCATCCTGATCCTTGGCGTTGGTGTGGGCCCCGTGTGTCAGCAGCACCATGGTGCAGTCGAAGCGTCCCCTCTTGACTGCAATGTGCAGAGCCATGTCAGCCGTCCGGCTCATCAAATTCACCTCGGAGCCGTACTCGAGCAGCAGCCGTGTCATCTGTGCCCAAACGTGCACGTGCCAGGTCAAAGAGAGAGAAAACAACCATGAGGACAACCACCTGGGTGCTCAAACGATCCAGGCCTCACAGCAAGCAAAGCAGGGGGAAGAGGCAGGACCCTTAACCTGGACATGGCTAGCTGATTCGAAGCGCTGGCAATGGGGTTTCTCTGTCTTTTACCACAGAACTAGCTGGTGGTTTCACAATCTGGCTAGAGCTTCTGGATGTTTCGGGACTTAGATGCAAGTGCAGCAACTGGCTGAGAGCAATGGAGAAAAAACTCAGGCCACGTTCCTTGCAGACTGGAGGGAAGTAGTTTGCTTTTTGATCTTTTCTTTTATAAGCCAAGCAGATTTATGTCTCCTCTGACACTCCACAGGACACTTCTGGGAGGGATGTGATACTGCAGGAAGGAACAGTCCTATCACAGGAATGTCCTCTGCTTGCAACAAGCACCATTCAGGAATGTCCTCTGCTTGCAACAAGCACCATTCAGGTGCTCCAGCATGGCACATCATACCACTGATCTGCCCGTCTCTGGCAGAAGATGGACCATAACCCACATGCCACCAGCCTGTGCCTACCTCACGCTCTCCCTGCAGTTTTAAGGCAATAATCTGATTCCTTCCGTGAAACTGTCAGTCATGAGTAGAGTGCTCCCTCCAGGGGTAACAGTGATACTGCTGCAACTTCCCCAACAAAAAGTTTAAAAGAGACAAGCTGGCAGTTTCACAGCCAAAGATGTCATCCTAGGGATGAGCCCACCGTTTTGTTTCACTGCAAGGCTCCACTGCTCCATCCCCCGTGGCAAACAGCACCGGTCATCACAGGGCAAAAAGAATCAAACACGGGGCTGCTGGCTGGGCTCTGACACTCCCAGGGCTCTGCACATGCACCCAGGAAAGGGAGAGGTCAGCAGCAGGAGGAATTAATGGGGTTCTGGATGGCCCTCACCACGGATTGGCTCCACTGACCTCTGCCTTCTTCGCCCAGTGCAGCGGAGTAGCTTCATAGCGCGGGTCCTTGGAGTGAACCTGGCTGGCATCCACCTCGAGGATGGCCTGGGCACACCTGGCAAAGACAGTGAGATGATGGGATGGGGGGGCTGCCCTCTCGACCCAAGACCTCCGCTCCCATCGGCACCTGCCTCCCGCTCACAGCTTTTCAGGAAACCCTTCAGCAGCAGCAGGGTCCCTCCAAGTTCCTCAGCCGCAGTTTTGTTTTGCTCTTTTTAGAAAGGAAGGGTGCGACAGGAAGCACACAAGCAGCACGGTGTTTGGAGGAAGCTGGAGAATCCCTTCCAAATTCCAAGTTGTGGAGCAACATCTGGGTGCTTCTCCAGCACAGGAATATAGCATTTCTGGAAACTCAATACTGGAGGGGAAATTCTTCTCTTCTCCCTCTCTCTCCATGGAAACACGGGGATTAAACTGGAATAGTTAAATACTTGCTGAAATTAAGAATCCGTGTGAAAAAAAAAAAAAAATCACACCTATTGTGAAAAGATGAGTATCTAGTGCCTAGAAAGTGCAGGTAGGTAACTTACAAAACAAGCATATGCTCTCCACTCTGAAACACCACCAAATAAACCATGTACAAGAGATTAAGCCCCACTGCCAACTAAGGGACCTAAGCATATTTTTGGCCTGTGAATATGTCTCTAATGTTGAAAAGCAGTTTTGAGGATGCTGAAAAATTAGTTAGCAGCTAGTGTTGACTTGAGACCCCTATTTGCAGAGCTCAGACACTCTATGAAAATTAAGTATTATAAAGCACATACAAAGAGAATCAAATTTCTTCAGGGAAAACAAAACAGAGAATAAACTTTGTGTCCCTTCTGATTCAGTTCCAGAGTGTGTTATTAAGAGTCAAGAGTACCTTTGGCCCACAGGAGACAGGAATAACGAGGCTTTGAAATGAAAGCTTATTAGGGTCTGAGCACTCAAACACAGAGGTATAGTAATTAGCAATATTATTTAAGCATCAGTAAATCACCTTCTCACAGCTCATTCTGAGAGAAAGTATTTCACAAACTTTTTTTTTTCTTAAATATGCGTCTTTCTCCTGATGTCTGACACTAAATAATATATATAGATAAATTCAGGGAAAAAACTTTTTTTCTGAAAGCGTTTCTTTTCTACACCAGCGCTTCTCTGTTCTTTTGCCAACTCGGTGATGCAGCAGAGGACAGCAGAGGACATCTTCCTCCTGAGCACTGCCCTGAAAGGGGTCCGGTCTCAGACAGCCCTGAGCAAGCAGACAGGTCCCCAGACCGGAGGAAGAGCCCTGTTCTGGCAGCCCGAGCAGTTACTTACCCCTTCTGGGAGAACTTCAGTGCTGTGTGGATGGGGTAGCCCAGCGTCCCCACGACGCTGCAGCTGGCACGGCATTTCAGCAGAGACCGAACCATGTCCTCTTTGCCCAGCTGACAAGCGAGATGCAAAGCTGTCAGCCCTTCATGGTTCAGGTGGTCTAAGCCAGCAGTTGGGGTTCTGCCCAGGAGCTGGGAAGAGGAGATAATAGATAAAGAAATAGACAGATGTGGAAGCGCACTGTTTCTCCTCCTGAGCTCCCAGAACAGACTATGGAGCACCAGGTTCCTCACGATCCTGCAGCCTGTCCTCTCCACCCCTACTTCCAACGTGGCAGCTACGGAAGTGCTCCTCGTTTTCTTTCCTTAAAGGGTTTATTGCTGCATCTCTGGGCTCTCTTTCTCTAGTCTGGGTGCTTCTGAGACACCCCTCAGCCAAAAAGGGGCTCACGTCGCTTTGAATGACGCAGCCCAGCGGACTCCCACCATCTCCCACTGCGTGAGCCAAGCTCAGCAACAGAATGAGAGTGCTAAGTGAAACCAGTAGTTCCCTCTCCTGCTGCAGCCCCATCAGTTACCACCGTCAGTCAGCAGGCAGAACCTCCCCTGAAACTCCACCAATGCTTTCAGATACAAACAGGATTCTGTTTAAAATACACCTGCAGGGATATATTTGAAAGAACTTTCCTATTCTCCCCTGTGTTAGGCTTGTGTGTGGGTGGCACTGTTTTGGTAGCAGGGGAGGGAGGCTACAGCAGTGGCCCCCTGTGAGAAGCTTCTCAAAGCTCCCCCAGCTCCAACTTGGACCCACCTCTGGCAAAGGCTGAGCCAATTAGCAATGGTGGCCGCGCTTCTGTGATAACATATTTAAGGGGAGCCTGGGAAGAGGAGAGGGAGTTGTGAGGTACACACCTATGCAAACACCGACCGAGGTCAGCTGAAGAAAGGAGGAGGAGGGGGAGAGGTGTGCCAGAGCAGAGACTCCCCCGCAGCCCGTGGTGAGAGGACAGGCTGTCCCCCTGCAGCCCGTGGGGGGCCATGGTGGAGCAGATGCCCACCTGTGGCCCACGGGGGACCCCACGCCAGAGCAGGTGGCTGCACCCGAAGAAGGCTGGGACTCTGAGGGAAGCCCCCACTGGAGCAGTTTGTTGCTGGGAGGTTTGGGACACGTTGGAAAGACCCCCGCTGGAGCAGTTTGGGAAGAGCTGCAGCCCATGGAATGGACTCATGTCAGTGGAAGATCATGGAGTTCATCTCCTGTGAGAGGGACCCCCATGCTGGAGCAGGGGAAGAGTGGGAGGAGTCCTCCCCCTGAGGAGGAAGGAATGGCAGAGACAATGGATGATGAACTGACCACAACCCCCTGCACTGCTGTGGGGGAAGAGGTAGAGAAATTGGGAGCAAAGCTGAGTCCGGGAAGAAAGGAGGAGTACAGGGAGGTGTTTTTACAATGTGGTTATAGTCCTCACTGTCCGACTCTGTTAAATTAAGTGGTGGTGGTGTTTAAATTAAACTTATGTTCTTTTTCTTCTCCAATCGAGTCTGCCTTTTGCCCATGACCATCAATGGGTGAGTCACCCCTCCCAGTCCTAGCCTCAATTCCCGAGCCTTTTGTTTTATTTTCTCCTTCCCAGTCCTGAGGGGGAAGGGGTGAGCAAGCAGCTGCGTGGTGCTCAGTTGCCCTCTGGGCTCAAACCGCAACATCCCCATAAATTTTAGACCTGTTACCTGCTGACTAGTTTGTTACAGAAAAATATCCCACTGCCATACTGGGGAAATCCTGCAAGCCCTGGTCCACGCAAGAGAAGCAGGAATTTAGAGTTTCTTTTCTCTGGTTTAGCAAGGAATCAAGAGAGAAAAGAAACAAAACAGGAGACAGATCAGACCTGGAAGTACTTCTGCAGCAACAAGCCAAGTTGCTGTCATCAGAGATATAAAGGAAGAGGATACCTTTTTAATACAAAGGTCTGAACCGCTCTGCTCCACTGCATGGCAAGCCCTGATCATCATCCCTCCCCCATCACACATTAGGAAACCCCAGCAGAGTCTGGCAGCCAGAGGGAGAGCTGTCACAACAGGTATTGGGCAAATGTTGGGGGTGCAGCTGTAGGGGAGAGCCAGTCTTGCACTCGCACTGGGTGCTGGGGAGCTGACAGACCTGAGGAACCAATGTGGAAGGCCATCCACACCATTAGGAACCCCGTCACTCTGTCCAGCGCTCCTCAGCGATCGAGAACTCCTCTGGCTTCAGACTGTCTCTGACACGAGGTTCTCATCGCTGTCCCTTGTGCGAGGCCACCCAGTTCGAACAACAGGTTCTGCAGCTCGGGAGAGCCCAGGGCAGCTCTGAACTGTCCTTCAGAGTGTGGGCAACACACACTCCCTCACGGCAGCCTAAACACGCACTCCCCCACAGCAGCACTCTGCCCAGAACCAAATACCCTGCTTGGAGGAGATAGAGAAGGGACAGCCAAGGGCCTGAGGAAAGGCAGGGTGAAGGCCTGATGCAAACAGCAATGAAGGACACTTTCTGAGGAAACTTGCTTAATATCCTTGTTCCACTGCAGAGTGGAATCTGGATCCTGCTTATGGGAAAGAGCACCAGTAAAGGGGGAAAAGAGAGGCTGAAATCAGCCTTGAGCATTAATTTGATGCTGCAGCAGAGGGAACTGACTTTTTCCTCCCCTGTGCAGCAGCTATTTTCCTGTCTTCTTCCTCACAGCACAGAGAGGACCCATTCTAGACCCACTCTTCCCCAGCTTTGAAATCACTCCCACCTCGATGATCTGGGGGTTGTTCCCTCGCACAGCATAGTGGAAAACGGTCTCCCCGTTCCTGTCGGTGATGTCCACCCGCGCGTGGCACTCCAGCAGCTCCAGCAGGCACTCCATGTCTCCCTTGCGGCACGCCAGGTGCAGCGGGGTGCAGCCATCCTCACTGTCCTGGCTGTTCACGCAGCTGCAAGAGATGAGTCAACGTGAGGCCGAGGAAGGGCTGTGAAGACGAGGACACGCAGCTGCCCCGGGGAGCCAAGACGAAGGTACCTTCTGCATCTGGGACCTGCTGGTGCAAACCACGAGGTTCCCAAAAGCCCGGCCTCTTGCCAGGGAAGGAGCCCAGGGAAGGGCCACCAAGCAGCCCTGCCATGGACCCTCTCCCTGACATGCTGCTCCTTCCTCTGCCCCCCAAATGGGAGCAGCTCCCCCCCATCCAAAGGAAAGCAGGAGACAGCGACCTGGCGGAGGCGCTGCCATTAGTCCCCCAAACTCTTCACTAGTCTCCCCTGTCCCCAGTGAACTTCCCCACTGAAAGAGAGCAAGGGCTCGTGGCCAAAAACCATTTCCAGAAAGACAGTCCTACTGCGCCTCCTCTCTCGTGGTTTACAAGGTGAGCCACAACCCCCTCCAAAAAGCAGTTCCACAAGGGTCGTAAGAATCTAACCAGTGCCTCTAGCAAAACACTTCAATCCTTTCGCTCAACCACCAGAGCTCCAGGCTTTAACACCCACAGCAGCAGGTTGAAAGCCTCCCAGTGAGCTTACACAGCGACCTTCAGACCCTCCTGGCTACCACGCCAGGCAAGAGACACGCCAAGGCCGGCACTTTTAAACTCAACCTCTGCAGTAACAGCAACCACAGGAGCTAAGCTCCTCCAAGAAGCAGCCCCCGCTGCTTTGATACATCAAAGCTGGGAGACCCGTGCCTGGCCTAGGTGTTGTTCTAAGCTTGCCCCCAGCGCCAGGCCCACCCGGGACCCCTACTGCCCCCTTGCCTCAGAACGTGGTTGTGCCGGAAGCTCTCCCGACGGCCGAACTCCACCGCGACGTGCGCCGAGGACCAGCTGGGGTGGTTGCGGAAGCAGTCGCTGAGCTGCTGGAGATCCTCCAGCAACAAGGGCTGGCACGAGCTCTCGTAGAAAGGGCGCAGCAGCCTGGCATACTGCTCAAAACGCACCAGGGCATCTCCTTCGTTGTCAAGCTGGAAGAGCCTGGAGGCAAGGCAAACACAGCGTTGGTGCTCCTCAAAGAAACAACCTCTTGGGTACATGGGATGGAGAAACGGCTCTTCTCCAAACATCAGCACTGGGAAATTTCTCGTTTCTCCTCATCTGGTGTCCTGATTGTTCCGAAGAAAAGAGCTTACTTCATTTGCACCTCCTTTACCTGAGGAGCATTAACTTTCAGGCTGAAGCATCCAGTGCTCCAGATACTAAAGCTGCAGCAGGTATGAGCGGAAGCGCAGGTACCTGTGGATGCTCTGACCCGAGCAATTATCTCACAAACGCCTGTTTTCAGCGTTTGGCCTCTCCTGCCCCGTTCTCACAAGCTGTTTTGGGGCAGACTCCTCCACCAGCACATGCAAGGGGCCTCTCGCGCCTCATGATCCCACCCGCTGTGATCAAATAAACCGCCCCACACCCCCAGCCAAAACACACTGCAGCCCTGAGACCAGAGATTTCGGGTCTTTAGTTTCACTCTCGAGCGGCGCCTGCTAAAGGTCTGGCACTTACCGGAAAGCGACCTGTGGGCTCTGGGGATTCACCAGCAGGCAATCCCACGAGCGAGCGAGGCCGTTCTTGTAGAGGGCCACACTGCCTTCCTGCCTCAAGCAGGCGTGAGCAGCGTACTCGGCAGCCGGCACCTCCTTCACCCGGTACGGGTTTGTGAATATCTGGGTGACGCTGTTGATAGTGTTCACCAGCCGCCCAAAGAACTGCATCTCGCCGGAGCCTCGGGCAGCTTCTGCCCCGCGCCCTGCGGGAAACGCGGCCCAGATTTCGCCCGGCCCCTGCCCTTGCCCTGAACTCGGCGACCCAGCGCCAGGAAAGCAGAACTGAGAGCCGCCGGGGTGACACACCGCCCGGGAGGAAAGCCCGGCCCCGGCGGTTTCTTTCCCGGCTCTTCCGGGAAAGGAGCCGCCGGTTCTTCCCCTCAGCGCCTCGCAGCGATGGCCGAACCCTGACCTCCCTCTCGGAGGGGGTGGAGGGGAAACGCGTCCCCCTGCACGGCCACCCCCAGCGCCCCGCCGCCTGCCCGCGCTGGGAGGAGCCGCCGGGGGAGGCGGGAGCGGGACGGGGCCGGGACGGACCCGCGGCCTGGCAGCACCGGGCCCGGCGCCCCGGTTAGCGGCGGCTCCCCGCAGAGCACGACGGGCCTCCCAGCATCCCCCGCGCGGGCCCGCCAATCGCGGCACCACCCTCTCCTGGATTAGGGGCCGCTGCGTCACGCCCGCCGCCATCCCGGAGGAGGGCGGAAAAAGCGAGGGGCGCCATCTTTGTGAGGGGCGGGGCGAGCTTCTTAAAGCGGCAGCGGCCCATTCCGCTGGGAGGGCGGGGGCGATCCGCTCCCGGAGGCGGCCGTTCCCTGGGCGTGTGTCACCCCGAAATTTAGGGGGGAAAAAAAAAAAAAAAAACCTCCAGCAGTGTTGGAGCGTGGCTGCGCTCAGTCCTTCCCGCGCGAGGCGCGCTTGCCCTCCCCCACCGCGGCCGCTTTAAGGGCAGGGGCCGCCCCGCGCGGCGGCGGCGGTGGTGGCGGCGGCGCGCGGGGCGGGGCGGAGGGTGACGTCACCGCATGACTGTGTTTTTATGAATGAAAAGAATCCGCGGGTGAGTAATCGCGGGGAGCGGGGCTGGAGGCGCCGCCCGACGCCCCGACCCGGCAGCGGCCCCGCGGGGACCAGCGCAGCCGCCCGGTAAGAGCCGGCCCCGCCGCTCCCGCCGCCGGCTTCTCCCCCCGCGGGGCGGTGGGGGGGTCCGGCACCGGCTGGAGGCCGGGACCGGGGCGGGAGGGGGGGTGTGTGTGTGTGGGGGGGTATTAGCGCTTCTCTCCCGGCCACCGCCCCGGAGAGAGCCGGGGCCGGGGGAACGGCGGCGGCTCCCCGGCCCCGATTGCATCAGCTTCCAGCCGCCGCCTTCCCCGCTCCTCAGCCCCTCACCTCCCCGCGGGGCTCTCCCGGCCCCCCCGGGGGGGGGGGGCTGTGCTAACGGCGTGGGGAAGCGGTGCTGGGCTGCAGCCCGGGCTCCTGGCTCTCCCCCCCCCCCCCCCCCCCTCCCAACCCAGGGACAGGGAGGGGACCGGCCACGGGCGAGGGGACAGTCGTCGCTTCGGTGACTTTTCCCCTCTGGGCTGCTGAATCACGGGGAGGCCACTTCTCGCCCTCCCCACGCTGCGTGGCCGCGGCCCCGACCCTTTGCCCCCCGCCCCGCAGCCTGCGGACACCCGAGCCGGGAGCACGGGGTGGCGGGGTGGCACCTCCACGCAGGTCCTGGCTGGGTGGTTTCGCCCCGTGGGGTTGCTGCTTTTACTTTCTTTTCAGCTTCGGGCGGATCTCGCCTGGGTTTCCTCCCCCGGGGGGGGGGGGGAAGCCTTGGCCTCCCGGCAGATGGGCTGGAGCATTTTGGGTCCCCTGGGCAAAGCAGCAGCAGCCCAACCACCTTGGGGTGGGATGAAGGAGGGACCAGAGGTCCAGCTTTCCCCCGTTATTATTATTTTTTTTGTAGTCACTGTTATAATTACTACTACGTAGCTTTTCTTCTTTTTTTTTTTTTTTTTTTTAAAGGAGTAGGGATGAGTCATGTAGCCAGCGGGGGGGACGTGGGCACCGGGCGGGGGGCCAGCAGGGCTGGTGCCCGCTGTGCCGAGGTGAGGGGCACGGGCTGGCAGTAACCGGCTTTTCTTCTGGCTGCTCGGCAGGGCCGACGCGAGGCAAGGATGGCTGCGGACGGACTCTCCAGCAAAGCCCTGAAGGTGATACACCGGTGGGACTGAGGGGGTTGGAGAGGGGCAGGGATCTGGTTTGGGGAGGGTCTCAGGCAACCGCCCCTCTCTCCGGCAGGTGAAGCGGGAGCTGGGGGAAAACACGCCGCTGCTGTCGGACGAGGAGCTGATGGGGCTGTCGGTGCGGGAGCTCAACCACCACCTGCGGGGCCTCTCCAAGGAGGAGGTGGCGAGGCTGAAGCAGCGCCGGCGGACGCTGAAGAACCGGGGTTACGCTGCCAGCTGCCGGGTGAAGCGCGTCTGCCAGAAGGAAGAGCTGCAGAAGCAGAAGATGGAGCTGGAGTGGGAGGTGGACAAGCTGGCCCGGGAGAACGCCGCCATGCGCCTGGAGCTCGACACCCTCCGCGGCAAGTACGAGGCCCTGCAGGGCTTCGCCCGCACCGTGGCCGCCCACGGGCCCCCCGCCAAGGTGGCCACCGCCAGTGTCATCACCATCGTCAAGTCCGGCACCAACCAGGCTGCCTATTCCTAGTGCTGGCCCCCTTCCCCTGGCTGGGCACAGCCCCCCACCCCGTTCCTCCCCCCTCCCCGGGGCGCCTTCCCCCCACGAATTGCCTCTCGTACCCTCCCTGACCCTCCTCCCTGCTGGGACCTGTGCCCCAAATCCTCCTTCTCCCATCCCTTGACCTCCAGCCCTCCTGTGTAGGGAGGGCTGCCGCAGCATGGGTGCTGGGGTGGAGGACAGGACCCCACCGGTGGTGCCTGAAGCCCTTACTGCCCCCTTCCCTCCAATCCAGCCCCCTCCTCTGCTGCAGCCCCCCGGGCCGGGCACCCCTTGCCCTGGGGGGTGCAGGCAGGAGAGGAGGATCCGGTGCAGGCAGCGGTTGGGGAAGCATCCCACGGCTCCAAGCTGGCAGGAAAACACCAGGTGCCTCTTTTTTTGGGGGAGGGCACAGGGGAGCTGAGTGCGGGCTGGGTGTTCCCAGGAGCACGTACCAGGGAGGAACAGGAGGTGGGGAGAGGTTTTGCAGCAAGGGGTGGGAAGGGATAGGATGGAGATGGGGTGTCAGCATTGGCCCCACAACTTGGACCATGGCTGGAGCAGGGGGAGAGGTGGCGGCACGGCTGGAGACTCTGGGGATGGAGGTGGCGAGGGAAGGTGGCAGGTGAGAGGGGGAGAGAGAGCGACTGCAGGTTGGTGCTGGGTATGAGTGAGCGGGATGGGAAAGCGCCGTGGCAGCCTGTGGCACTGGGGGAGCCCAGAGGTGATGGTGATGGAGGGAGGTCCCTCGGGCAGGGGAGAGCTGGGGGATGTGAGCGGCGGGTCGGCCCAGGCTGTTGTCCGCAAAGGGGAGAAGCAGTGGTGCTTTTTTATCTCTCTCCATCACACACATCCTTCACGCCTCTTCCTGCCTACGGGACGCTCAGCCTGGCCGGGTGTCTCCAAAACACAGCGGCGCTGGCAGGAAGGAAGCGGAGGCAGCTGGAGCAGAGATAAACACTGTTTTGCTCAGCACAGGCCGGCTTGTACGGCCCCACCAAGCGCTCCCCGGCACCCCACCGCCTACAAAGCCCACGGAAAGGTGCTCTTGGCCACCAGAGAGCCAGAGCTGCAGAGGCAGAGGGGTGGAGATGCAGGAGGTGGGAAGCAGGGGCGGAGAAAATCCCTGCTCCTGGGAGCCACCTGGCAGGCAGGTAGGCTCCTCCCTTTGGTTTTCCTCCAGCTTGGACACCAGTGTGGGACAGCCAGCTCTACCAGCAGGCTGAAATGCTGGAAAAGAGTTGGGTTTGCTAAATACAGGCAGCACGGGAGAGGTAACAGGAGGCAGACCCTCCTTGGCATCTGTCGATGACCCCCCCCACACACACCCCAACACTTTCTGCCCCTGCGTGGGTATTGCCGTGCCAGCCGCCCTCGGCTGCAGCCCCCATCCCTCCCCTGAGAGGTGCCCGCCGCTTGTGGAGGGGCCACTGTGGTTAGCATCCCCCCACCCCAACTCCTCTTGGGTTTATTTATTGCACGAACGTAAGTTATTTTCACGTCCTCTTTGCCATTCCGCCTCTCGGCACAGCCAGGATGTTGGTACAGAGCCGTACTTTATATTTTATATATGCAAATCACATTTTATCTTATACTTATATAGAGCAAAATAAAATACTTATTTATTTTCTGACTTACAGTATGTGTCCTACCCGATTCCTCTGTATTTTGTAGACTTTACAAATAAAGCAAGTTCTTTTTTTTCCACAGCGAGAGTGTGTTTGGTCCTTCTTGAGCTTCAGGGCAGAGCTGTGTCTCAGCGAGACCAGGTTTTCTAGCTCCCTCTAGCTTTACTGCAGGACACGTTCAATAGCGTGCCCAAAAAAGATGGTATGAGGGACAGCTCGTGATGGTTTAGAACACACACAGATTTAGACTCTGGAAGAAAAGGGCTTAGTAAGCAAGCTTAACAGTGAACATCACCCCCTCAAAGCAGCAAGGAGGAAAGCAGGGAGCTCGTGTCTGTGGGTGGCAGGAAAGGAGAAGGAAGCATGGCAGGCACCTTACACCCCACCCCGTGGGGCAGAGTTCCCCCCCTTCCTCAGAGCCGAGGTGGAAGCGATGACCGTGTCCCCGACACGCGTGTGGGCCAGGTCCCAGCCCCTCAGCAGCTCACGGCGCTCGCGGGGTTGTTCCTGCTTTTACATTCTTGTTCCCTCTTGCCTCGGCCGAAAAGCCCAGAGCTTCCCGTCAGGGAAAGCAGCCCGCTTTCTCCCAGAGGTGTTTTGCACTGAGCACCCAAGATGAGGCCTCATCTCTACTCCCGGTTTTTGAGGTCTCGGCCCCTGGCTGCTGCAGCACTGCTCCTCCCAGCAGCTCCTGCACGCACCGATGGTGTGAAGCTTTCCTCCCGAGCAGAGGACTAGGAGGACAAGACATACTGGCCCGCTCAGCCTCAGCCCCTGCAGTGAGCAAAAACCTCAGAATCAGTTCAGAGAAGTCGCCCAGACAGCACCACGCAGAGGCATCTTAAATACAATCTATATTATCTCTATATTTTTATTTGTCATCATATTTGCTCATTTCTGCAGAGTATAACGTCACAAAGACCAAAATAGAGAGCGGCTTGTCGCTGAGCTCACATCAGTTAAACACAATAGGTACAAAACTAGGTGACTCTGTCTTATTTATCATACATTTTTTTTTTTTTTCAGTCATTTATATACAAAGAACTACGCTATATGGAAAAATAATAAACAAATCCCATGGGTATGTTACATGGTAAACAAAAAGAAGGAAGGAAAGAGAGGGGAAGCAGGTGAGGGACAGCAGCTCCAAGGGCCCACTCCTGGAACCAACATGTTTGTTGGCGCCCTGGGCTACCGCGAGCAGACCTGCAAGACCACAGATGCCTTGGCTTCCTTGGTCTCGAGCTCTGGGTCTTATAAGATCTCTAAGCCAGAGTGGCTGCAGAGCCAGTCCTTGCTCTGGCACTTGCCTGCGGTGAGGGAGAGCAGAAAGCTCAGAGGTGATTTTTCACGGTGTTAAAAAATATACAGGTATATAAAATAATAACGCATGGCAGCCGGCTGTTGTTCGGGCACTGGTTCTTCACCGGGCTTCTCTGAAGGCAGCTAGTGCAAAAGGATTATACTTGAACCCACTACGTACAGGAAGCTTTGAGAATATCCAGATCCTCTGCACAGCATATATATGCAGCATACTTTTCAAAACGATTTAAAAAAAAAAAAACCTGCTTCCCCAAGCCTGGATCACCTTCAAGCTCAAACAGGGCAATACAAGAGATCTCAGCCACCCAACACAACAAAGATTGGGGACAGTCACCAATTCAGTGACACCAGGGCATCATCGAGGCCTGCAAACGCAAGGAAAGGGGAGGAAGAGATCATGTCACATGGCCCACTTTCCTAAGAGGGAGAGGAAGTTTAACATAAATACCTCACACTGAAGGACTTATTAATCAAAGCCACAGAAGATGGAAGGAAAGCCCATTCGATCTTCAGCCCTGCTTTCCAGGTGCCTTACAGCACGAGGAAAAGCGAGCCTTAAGCCAAGCCCACACAAAGCCCGGCAGGCAGCGTTTGCATGTCCACTTAAGCAGTGACAGATTTAGGAAAAGCAGTAACTAACTGCATGGCATCACAGGATGTGTGCAAATGGGGAAATCCAGCAGCAGAGAAGCTTCCTGGATCCCCCGAACCTGCCTCCAGCTCCTTCAGGAGTCAGCACCATCGCTCCCCCCTGCTTTACCATATCCCCGGACACCGTGAGTACGGAAGAAGACAGTGTCCTTAAGCCTTCCCCTATCTTATCCTCACAGCAGGGAGCAAACCCACCCTCTCTTCGAGCCCCTTGCCCCCCACTCCTGACCACACGTGAGGCAGTGAGGTGCTCTTCCCTCACAGTCACTTCTGAGAAAGTGAATGAGCAAGCACATCGATTAGGATACAAGAGGAAAGGTAAACTCCAGGCAGTAAACCACACCCCGTTTCTCCTAGCAGAGCAACATGGGGCAGTCTGGAAACGCACAGCTCTGCTGATGGCAGGGTAGGCATCAAGTGGGAGAGGAACAGAGAAATTTCAGCCAAGAAGAACACAGCAGCTTGCTCCAACCTCTCCATTTTCCTCCCTGCTTGGGGGTAAGGATCCGTAGCACTTGAGTGTGCTCCCTTCTCCTCCCCTAGATGATTTTAAGAGGCATTTCCTGGTCCCTGGATAGAACTGCAGAGGGATCATTTTTATTTTGGCTCCACTAAACACCTAATCCAAACCCCAACAAAAGTGCAGGGAAGCTTCTTTTCCCACTCCCATGGATGCTGGCTCCACCCTCAATAGCATTGCAGTTGCTGCAGGGCCTGCGAAATGTGCAGCAGTAGCAGCAACTGCTGCCCAGGAGTTTCTCACGGAAAGAGGGACAATTTTAACCAGCCAGGTCATGTCAGGTTTCCAAGTCTGCTCCAGTTTGGCCCAGAACAGCTTGTGGAGATAAAAAGCAGAGGAGGAACGTACAACATCCCTTTCTGAATACTCCAGCCCAAGGGCAAAACTCGTGCAGCTCGCAGGGGAAGTCAGTGACAATAAGCATGTGGAGAGCTACCTGCGAGACCAGGACCTGCTCTGGCAGCTACCTGGTGCAACCCACACCTTTAAGAGGGGCATTTATGTCAGTGGAGGACAGGAAACAAGAAGGAAAAATGTTTTAGTGTTGACGTATCTTCCTTTCCCAATGAGGGATGAAAGGGCCAGAGCTCTACAAACTTCTAGAACCCATCATGGCCAGTCCTTAGTCTTGTTAGCAGGAGACAGACACTCCAGAGAGGCTTCTTGCCACGGGAACACAGGGGAGATGGGAAGCTTGGACACCTGGTGATTAGAAAACCCCACTCTTGTGAGACAGTAATGCCATCCCTGCTGAGCTTCAACAAGCATCAGCTTTGACGAGGAGCAGGGGAGATGCAGGGAGCAGAACAAGGAAGAAAGTCCTGTCCTTTTCCCCCTCACTCACTCAAGTACAGGACTGCACAACCAGGTGCTTAAGGAGGGTGGGGGCAGATGTTCCTTACTCAGGATTCAAGGCAATGGCTGTAGAGAGACCAATCTCTGGTCTGGTCATCAGGAACTCTTATCGCTGCATCCTAATCCCATTTCCCAAGATCACAGAGATGTTAGTACCAGGGAGCTGGGGGAGAAAACTGTGCCTACGTCAACAATTCAGGAAAAGGAATACAACTCAGTCAGGTTATCCAGCTGGAAAAACAAAAACCAAAAACATTTTTGGCCACAACTCCAGGCTCTGGTCAGTCACGCTCCACACCAAGCTGTGCAGGTGTGGGAGGCCAGAGCCCCAAACCCTGGAGCTTTGCTGCAATTAATTCCAGTCAATTGCTGCTGTAAGGAACGGGCTTGAGAGTGGAGTCCTGGCCATTCCCCAACCTCCACACTGCTCATCATGTCTGTACCCACAAAAGCTAATGGGAAGTGCCCACTTCTGCAATCTGCACTCTCTAGGAAGTGATATGACTTGCGTGTTTCTGCTTCAATAAATTAAAAAAAAATAAAAACAACGAAAGGAAGAAAATGACAGCCTGTGCTGGCAGTTTCCCCTCCTAGAATTCATCGTCAGAGCTCAGCAAGAGGGTCTTCTCGTTGTCACGGGCACCCGAGCAGCTGTGGGAACGCGAGATAACATGACTGCCGTTGCGCCAGGGTGGACCGTGCTCCAGCGTTGACTGCTGGGTGTACTGCTGGTAGGCTGGAGAGAAGTTGTGGATCGCATCTTGGACAATGTCGTGGGGGTTCATGGTCTCCTTGAGGCTGCTGGAGATGCTCTTCATGGGAGCACAGCGACCTGTTGGGGGTAAGATGGGGAGGGACAAGTGAAGAATGTTGCTGCCTTCCCCCCCCATCCCTTAACATGAAGGTAAGGAGAACAGGGAACATGCAGTCCTAGATCCTGCAGAGGTTACTTTACAGACTTCCTTAAGCAGCTGCTGAAGAAAGGCCACACCAGTGGTATCCAGTTTTACCAGTAGTGCTCCTAAATCCAGCCACTGCTAGCTAGCCTCAGCACAAAATGGGGGACATGCCATGAGAATGGGACATACCCCCAGTGACAACCTTCACTACACACTACCTGTGCTGGCTTGGGTGTGCAACAAAGACAGTCAGGTAAGGAAGCGCTCCTGTAAAGGGTTTCACAAGACAAAATCTAAGGAAATTCTGAAAATATAGGCGAAATAGCATTTGCCATTCCCGCTCACTGGAAATTAGACTAAGAGGTGGTGTGGAAGTGCCCGCAGGAAAGAGATCATAAAAGTGGAGAGCAGCGCAAAGGAGGGAAAGGAGGGGAACAGGCAGTACTAGAGGCAGAACCACCCCACAGGTGGAGGGTGTCACGGTGATAGTGTGGAGTACAATACAACGGTTGGAGACTGTCCCACCCAAGTGCTGAGCACAGAGGAAGGCTGCGTGTCCTTCTAGGAGTTGGTATTTCTCAAGGCTTCTAGGTCCTATTTCCAGTGTGGGCTTCTGGCTCTGCTCAGTCCTGAGGATGAGCTCCCCAAATGACCAAAGCATGCTGATCATCTGTGCCAATTAGGAAAGCGAAGGGAGGCTGGGATGAGAGCACAAACCGGCTCCTTTGAGAGCCTCTGCAACTCTTTGGAGAGATTCACATGGTCCTGACAGAGCGAGGTGTCATGCCACTGCCCACAGGGCTGTTTTACAACTTACAATCCAGACAACCCTAAAGCAGCTGTAAGAGGCAGTCGAGTTACAGACCTACGAGGAAGGGGGAACAAGGGACAGTGCAGGCAGCAGGCAGGCTGCGAATCAGGACAGAACAGCATCCCAGTTAAAAAACAACGGAGACAAACACACAGAGCATGCTGTACCTACCGTATGGCCCATATGATGGAACAGCTGCATCAGGGACCAGTGGCCAAAGCAAGGGAGAGATAAGAGGGAGAGGAGATAGACAGAGAAAGAAAGAAAAAGAGAGAGAGGAAATAACAAGAACTGAACAAGACCCACCACCAAAACATCCCCCACTGTACTGGCCAGCAGTTTACCCTTTCATCACCCACAGATCTCATCTCTCCCAGCGGTGGCCATTGTCCTTGCAAAACCTCTGAGACTGGCTGGGATGGAGGCATCACCTACATGAACACTGCCCAAGGGCTGCTCTCTTCCCACACCTCAGCACACACTCCCCCCGGCAGGAAGGAGCCCCTTTATCTGGGGAACATTGAATGTACTTGCATTGACTGGGCACAAGAACCACCTTTTCCCAGAGATAATGTTCACCTCCTTCTTCCCCGGAATAAGATTTCTAGCAGCTCAGCCATTCACCAAGTTGTTAGAGGAAGATCCTCTTCCTCCAAGCCAAACATATTGCCAAAGCACAGCCTCATCTTCCTGAGCCAGATTCAAAACAGAGCCTGTTTCAGACCCTGTCCCTCCTGCCTTCAGTCTGTTGCACAATCTGGAGCGATGGAGTTCCCCTTTGGGGAGACAGGAAGAAGGACAAACCCACTCCACCAAAAGGATGCAACTTCTTGCAGCCCTCAGGTCTGCAACAACCTCTCGTGGGTGGTGTACTGGGGAACTGAAAAGGGAACAACGCAATTCAGGCAAGGTTTCTGCCCTGCAGAGCCATTGCACAATGACTCTGTTCAGACACCACGGAGGAGGGGATGTGATGTTTTTCCAGGCACTCAGGTTGGCAGTCACATCGGTGTGTTGGTTGCTAGAGGGACCAGTCTCCACCCAGTCTCACTACCAAACAGACATGCCACTTGTGCTGGCGTATTCCCTACCTTGGGCATCAAGTCTCTTGTCCGCATACACCTTGTAGGTGAAGGCATGGCGTAGGGCGATGGCTGCAAAGAACATTTCCACACATATGATGAAGTCCTGATACCCAGCAGCCACGGTGCCTTCACCCACAGACACGGTGGCAGAGTGGATTTTGGGGATGGCACCACACTTTTCCAAGATGGCCAACAGCATCCCTAAACAAAGCAACAGGCTCATGTAAATGTGCAGAAAACACGATCGCATACTAACTGTAAGGAATGGAAATAGCTGTCTGTGCTGTATGTCCTAGTCATGTAGCATTTAACACAGGAGCTACCCAGTGGGCTAGATACTTCCATCCATACTCACCTGTACAACAGGCAAAGAACGAATAAATGAGATAAATAGGTTTAAGCAAAGAACGTTCAAACACTGACTCTCTTCTATTCTCAACTGATGCATAATCTGTGGAACCAGCTGCTGCAGGACTTAATCTAGTCCAAAAGGGTAAGAAGCAGTCAGATAGTTCCATGTACTTCTGTGATCTCAGCACTTTCACTAGCTACAGCAAAAACTGAGGTAACAGAGCTTTTAAGCATAAAGTGGTTTTGACACAGCATTGCAAGAACGCTATTTCTCCCTGTCCATAGCCAGGTGGCTGAAGAATTCCAGAGAAGGCAGAAAGCGTGTGACCAGATAGCCCGAGATGATAAACTAGACAGCTTATTGGTTTGCCTGTAGACAGGGAGGATGGGCCGTACTCCAACAGCCTGAATTCCACCAAAGTTTCTACTCGATTAGTCTTTGAAGTGCAACTTGGTTAACTTAAGTAGGGCACTGAACAGGGAAATGCTCAGAGCCAATTAGTAAGAAGCACTAAGCTAAGGTGGAATTTTGGCTTTCTGAATGTGCCTCTGCATCATGTGTGTATACTCTGAATGTCCTTCCGCTTGGTGGCGGTTCTGTGGCAGCACACACTGCATTCAGCCAGCTTGCTGCTTCACATGAATCACAGACATACCATTAAAATTTTATTTATAGAGCACTAAAAAAAAAAAAAAGTATTAAAAATTTTTAGATGTGCCACTTTAATCAATAAAATGGCAGCATGCAGATAAAACGTTGGCAGCTTGTGCTTTACGATTGTTCCAGGAACGCAAAGGACTCTTCACCCAAAGAGCTGATTTTGCCAGGCAGATATGCACACACACAACGACAGTGAGGATTCAGGAGCACAGAAACAAAGATGAAAATGAGCAAAACAGGTTTCCCAGAGAAAAGCAATGAAAGACTAGAAATCAAATATAGTGATAATACAGAAAGACATTCTGGCTATTCATCAGCATCTGATCTATCAACTCTAGTGTCTGAGCCCCTGCAGAGAGCTCTTTCTGCCTACTAAGGGAAGGGAAAAGCAGCTCACCTTGCCAGAAGGACAGGAAGATGACAGACTTCACCATGAAGAACTTGAGGACTGGGCTATAGGGACTGAGCAGCTCACGTGTGGCGAAGTAGAAAAGGAAGAGGGCATATAGTGCCAGGCTGACAGAGATGTTGTAGATGATCGTCACGTAGAGGTAGCCGCTGGTTACACTGAAAAGAGGACATACACAAATGCCTGAAATTCCAGCATGATCTTTTCTCCTTGCCACTGCCACTGGGGACCTCTAAGACTCTGTTTCCTTCCTGCCTCCCTGTCCCATTTCCTCCCCCAACTTGAGGTAGAAAAAAATCTGAAACCAGGAGGCTTATCCCTACCCTCTTTGCTCGCACGCATATTCAAGCCCGTGTTGTCCCCCCATCTTTTCTCAAGGCCCAGTACACACATGGGCCATGAGCACAGCTGGGCAGAGAAGGGGCAGCCGAGTCACACTTGCCAGACAAACAAACTTACTCAAAGTCCCCATCCTGGTACTTGCCGAAGGCCTGAAGGATGACTGTGCTGATCGCCATGAGGGGCTTCACCACACAGAACTGCAGGGTAGCCTACAGGAATGAGAGAGAAGGAACTGAGAAGACAGAAGGTCCAATAGGCCAAGTTCCCAAACAATCACCATGACACTGTCTCCACTGGAACAGCGTGGCAGTGCAACGCAATCCAGCCCCAACAAGGAGTGCGACCCCACTGCTTGCTAATCAGTTGTGCTCGAGGACTGCAGCACCCGACAGGAGATAAAGCAGATTCAGAAGATGTACGTGCGCCGTCTACTTAAAACCTCTCTGTAGGTTGCTCCTAGAAACTGCTCAGCTGCTCTCTTCCAGAGCAGCCTTTCATAGGCTGTGCTGCAGCACATTTATGCATGGTAATGGTCTGAGAAAAAATATCCCACCCTGTGCTACGGTATGGACGCGGTACATTTAACAAAGGGATATCAGGGAAGGGAAGCAAACTTCCATACGTAGTTGCCATAAAGACAGGCAAGATGGTTCCCTGGATAGGAGGGGAAGCCAGCTCTCTGAGGAAGAACTTTGACAACTGCCACCATGTTAAGGCATTTGGTATACACAGCTATGTGTGTTGCCAAACAGAAGTTTAGAACTATTCAGTTGTCGCCCACACGACCTTCACTGAATCTCCCCAAAGGCTGCATAGCACCTGGGATCAGCTCCATCCATTCTCCCAGTATAAATCACTGCTCCTACTGGGACTCATCCTCTCTCAAAGCCACCCCATGCTTCAACTTTCTGGAGACGTCAAACTCTGAGGTCCTAAGACAGCGGAGGGTTGTGACCCTAAAAATGTCACCCAAGTCTCTCTGAAGGAGGCTGGAAGAGCCTGGGCAGGTGTTGACCTGCACACATGTGGGGAGGGCTGTGTATGGAAAGATGGCAAAACCAAACAGGAATAATTGCTTTGGATACGATGCAATTTGTTAGCGGTCATAAGACTTCAAGGAGATTAAAAACCCCAGCACATGCCAGTTAGTGAGTCACTGTAAATATGTGAACTGGAAAAGGTCAAGCTAATTCGTAAACAACTCTGTCCTCTGAGCTTCCCCTCCTTCCAATCTGGGTATGTTTTAACCATTTCCCTGCAATCCAAACCACCACGTCCTATTTTTAGTTGCTTCCCTACAAGATGCTACAGCACAGAGGAAGCACATGGATGGTGTATGACCCATCTGTGAGGGTCACCAGACACACACCCAGCAAAGAATCTTGATCAAGACATCTTCAAGGAAACCAGCTGTCCAGATAAGACACCGCAGCCACCAGCACACCACCCGACTGCTGGGAAAGCCGCCGGCATCGCAGGCAGACTGACTGACCCACAGCAGGCACCTGCCTGAGAACAGCTCGGGGTGGGGGTGAAGACAGAAAGAAGGAATGGTTGTAACACACAGATTCCTTCAGGGTGAAAGGGGCTGGAAAGAACAGAAAATGGACAGGTAGTAGTGGGAGGCAACAGGAGTGTTAGAGATGCTGAGAACAGGGATAAAGCAGGCAAGGTGCTCCTTCCAGCACTTTTCCTATCACCATCACGACAGAGGATAACACACAGATCAGCACCACTGAGATGCACTCTGTTGCCCTTTTGTGCCAGCCTTCCCAGGAATTTGCCATCAAAGGTCTTACTAGACAATCCTGGAAGTCTAGAAGTACCAGAAAGTGAGTCTTGGTGTCAAAGATTTCTCACCATGGCAACATTTAAGCTCGCGCCATGAAGGACGGAAGTATTTAAACATCCCTTTGCAAGACACCTCCCTCCCAGCCTCCACAGCAGACTTAACAGTTTGCAACAGTCAGGCCTGACTAGAAGAATTGCTGCCAGATAGAACCAAAGGAAAAGCAAAATACCCACCTAAGCCAGAGTTACCAAATGAGCTGAGAATTTGCATAAGGCAGCAGAACCAACCCCCAGCCCCCCAAAGAAATGCTTCTGGTCTTCACTGTTGTGAAAAACTTTTCCAAATACAGCCAGGTGCAACCCATGTGGAGATAACTGCCAGAGGCTGTGCGACATAAGAAACAAGAGGTCTAAGGGAAATTATTTCTCCAGCACTCATTCACCTTGACGGGTGTTGCGTCTGCTTATGACATATTTAAAAGGTAAAAGTTAACATTAGGAGCAAAAAGAATAGGTAATGCATTGAATCGAACAGAGGGTATGCAATTGAAGCTCAAGAGAAACAGGCAAAGCAGCATACTGGGAACAGATTAGAAAAGAAATTATCAGGGAAGAAAACGGAAAGCCATGAGGACAGAATATGGGACAGAGACAAGCAGAACAGAGAAAAGAAAGATATGATCCTTTGAAAAAGGTCAACTGTGCAGCAGAGATTAACACTGGATATTACTGTGAGGGTGCATTGTGCCTTTGATGTTCCTGCATATTGCTAACACACAGAAGATGGGTCATGATGTGGAAGAGAAGCCAGGGCAGATATCTAGACCCAGTGACTGGAATTACAATGACCTGAGCCCTTTCAAAGAAGCAGACCTGCTTCACACTGTCTCCAAAGAAACCTCATGTGTTCATTTCAGCAAGTGAGCAAAGCCTTGAAACTCACCTGCTGTTTCATGGCAGCCAGAGGTGACTGACCTGGCATGAGCAGACAAGGGCTGTATCGAGGTTTAGATCTGTCCCATTCCCTCCCTCTCCACATACCCAATTCAGCACAGACAGACACACATGGTGAGCAATGCTCGATTCCTCCTACAAAGCATTGCATCACACTTAACCTCCACCCGCTCTCCATCTCCAAACCACAACAGCAGCACTGGGAATTCAGGAGGCTGTTACACAACTGTGGGGTGTCTGCAACACAACACAGCCATCAATTTCTCAAAGTTGGGACCTCTGCAATCCAGAAAGGGAAGAAGAAATCAGAATTTCTTCCCAGGACTAACATCAGATCCAGGAGATAAACTGGGTCTTTTGCTAAGGCCCACCTTACACAGGGTTGAGTAGAAAATGTTAAGATCATTCAAAACAAATAAACAAAAAAACCTTGGAACACCCCCTCTCCTCAGCAGTCTGCAGGCCTCTCAAAATGCTATTATAAACCCCCTCAAAGGAGTGCTCATCTCAGAAGTTCAGCAGCAAAAGGCACCATTGCCACCCACACACGCTTCATTCACTTCTGGAGGATGGCACAGTTCCTCTGGCCCATACCTGTTTGCAGAACCTCAGGAATCCAATCGAATAGGTTTTTCCCCACAGGCAGCAAGTCCCATATACACAGCTGGACCTGAAAGAGCCAACACAAGATGACAGGGTTCAGAAGCAAGATTTGGGCTAGAGTGCAAGATTCCTATCCTCTTTGTCTACCTCTCTGTAGTAAAGTTGCAGGATTGGTGTTTTTTCCAACGATGATTACAGTTACAGCCATACCATCTTTCAGAGCCATGTTTAAAACAACATCCTGACTACATACTCCAATTTATTATTTTTTTTCTTTTTAACTGAGTAGCACGGGGAGAAACACAGATCCTAGAGGAAGCACACACAACCAACAGAAGACAGAAAAGATTTAAAGGAGGAGAAGGGAATAAGAAAAGAAACAAAGGAGTAGGCAAGTGTCCAGAAAAGCTGTGAATCAGTCCAGCTTGCCCAAGAGGATGTGATCAGCCTGATCTGTCTCAAAGGAGGGTACTGGTAAATCATCATCATCATCCATGCTGCCCAGTCCCAGCAGACGTTTGCCACCTGACACAGTTTTTCTGGGCAGGGATAGAGGTATGGTAGATGGGCACAGAAGGAGGAGAGTGTCATGCTGTAAACACAATAAATACTCACTCAATTGGTTTCCCTCTGATCTCAGACATGATGGAGCTCTCCCCTCCCAAGTACTCATAGCAGAGGCTGAGAAAGTTGTATATTACAAAGGCTGCAAAGACATCAATCAGAGTAAAATGGCAACCAACTTCAAAACAGGTGCAAGGACCAAGAGTACAGGCAACAGACCAAACATTAGCAGGGACTGCTTATGCAGCATCTTTCCCTTCAAAGCACTCCAGATTATTTTCACTGCATTTATCGTCCTACCTCAGCACTCACAAGACTATCTGAACTGGAGTTTGGCCAAGGTCCCAGGCCAGCTCCATGACTCATGCCAAAAGGGTCACAGAATCATTTAAAACATTGGTCAGTCTCTGTTTTACTTGGCATCTCTAAGATGCCATTCTTTACAGGGTTCCTGTGCATTATTCCAGGACATTACACTGGTACTAAATAATTTGGAAAAGTTATCTCTGATTCATCAACCATATCTGATCTCCTGTATTTAACCTTTTAGGTGATGAACAGTTTCTGTCTCGGAGGTAACCAGATTACAGACGTAAGTGCTGGAGAAACAGAGGGGTTTTACCAACCAGTGAAACTCTGGTTTCATGTCTGATGGAGACTTTTGAAAAACAAGCTCTGTGCTTTGTTTCCTCAGAAAGCTGAAATTTATTGCATGCTGAATAAATAGCTTTCCCCTCAGGCCACCTCTTTCTGCCTTCCCCAGCAACCCAGTACAGATGAGGAAGAGCAATCTCAGACTGACCGCTAATACTCTGCCCCATTTCAATTCTCTTCAGGACTGTTTTGCTGATATGTATAAACTGAGGTAAAGACACTGTGGGGAGGGCTTTCATCATAACTACAGACGTTTCCTTTTCATGGGATCCAAACCCACTTAATTGTACATGGAGTAACCTTGTACATGTCCTGTCTGCCACTTTCTTGCTTTGTTATATTTGCTGTTGGACCCTCATGCAGTTGTGAGATTTTTAGGGCAAGGACTGTACTCTTAAATTTGCCACATACAGTCTTGGGGCAAAATGACAGACCAGGTGATCCTTCTTTCAACATTATTTTCTATGACGGTCTGTACCTGGAAATTCCCTGGAATGCCAACACCCAAATCCTGGTTTTGGCCCCAAGCACTGACATAATACAAAGAGAAAATAACTTGGAATGGAAACAGAAGTCTTGAGGAACTTTGAAATAAGAACAAAAGCCTAATCATGTACAGTGCTGAGAAGCTGACCTCACCAAGCAGTCAGTTAATAGACCTGAGGTCAATTTTCTCACGTGGATGAACTTCCAAAGTCAGAGACAGACATCAACTCTAATTCTTCTATAAGCATCCAAACTATGCCCTGGAAAAGAGGTACTCAACACTCCTCAGAATGGTCATAGTCTCAAAACATTATATTTATGGCTTGTAGACATGCCTAGCTGGCAAGAATGCTACAACACATAAAAGCCAGTGGTATATCTGCTTCTGTATATGTAATTGGGATGTTGTTATTCCACCTGTAATCCTTGTTATTGAACAAAGTTAGGTATGTTCACACAGCAATGATTTTGCAAAAGCCTTAATTAGGAGAGAAAACACCAACCATGGAAAATTAATTAAATAACCGTGGTAACCCCTTTTGCCTGCAACTTTCCTGCAACTTAGCTGACAGCTCTCAGCACCCAGAGGAAGAAAAGCTGAGCTTTCCCTATTGTCCTCCAGTGACCCCTGCCCTCTAATATGGTCATTACAATACCAGCTGCCCATTCCACAATCTATGATTACATTAGAGGAAGAAAACACAAAAAAAAACAAAAAAAAAAAAAAAAAAAGGAGGGGGAAATATCTGTCCCTCCATCCCCCAAAAGAAGTGCTAACTGTCAAAGCTCACCACACCAGCAAAAAAATAACTCTTCTCTCATTCCTGATCCACATTCATCAGATGGTGCTCATCACATCAACATAACAAAAAAATCTACTGTGTTACCGACACCCAGGTTTGTAGAGAAGCTCAGTCACATGAAGGAGCAACACTAAAATATGCTCCTCCTAATGCATACTACAAAATGCAGCCCATAAATAGCCCAAGACAACTTCCAAAATTTATTAGTAGGGTCTTCTCCTCCCATTCCCTAACAGAGCTCCTCTCCACTTCGCAACCTAAAATCTTCCCAAAAAAGAAAGGATGGGTTGGATGGCAAGGAAGGGAAGAACAAAAAGGCTGTCTCAAAGTGATCCCCAGAAAAGACAAGGGAGAGAACCTCCTGACCAAAGGTGCTTTCACCTCCACCTGTAGTCTTCTCCTACAACCCAACACGCCGAGGTGAACTCTGGAGCATGGGCTGCCTTCTGAGCAGACACTCGGATGTTTGCAAACTCCCTGAGCAAGTGAGGCAGAGCGATACTGGCTGTTGCTAGGAGAGGAGTTTTACAGAGCAGCAGGCTTCCCGCTAGACCTACACGTCCAAACAGGGCAGGAAAGGGAGGAAAAAAAAAAAAAAAAAAAAAAAGCAGGCCCAAAGATGCCTTCTGAATCACGTGTGCACATTTGCCATCTGCTGCTGCATCTCAGAGCATTGTTGTGGATGTGAAGGAGGGCCTGCTGGTCCCTTCAGCTGATTAACTTGTTCACATGGCCAGGGGCACCTCTCTGCAATGCAGATCTCACCAAAATAACCGCACCAATGAGTTACGATTTAATGAGGGTATGGTGATAAACTGTCCTCAAAAAATACAGCGCTAGAGTGCAGTTTTTTTCCTGCTGGGTGGGTAGAGGCTTCTTTCTGGATAAGATCAGGAGGGAAGTTTACATAGCATTTATTGGAGAGTAACTGTTTCCCTCACATACAACACTAGTGGTATTATCTGTAGCAGAAAGCCAAAAACAAAGCAATCAGCAACTCATCCTGAACATGGCACCCTCTCTCCTGCAGGAATCCAAATCACTTCACCAGCCCCAGCACGTGATGGCTGTGCTGCCCTGTGCAAGCACACAAGTGGCCACAGGATGGGATCAGAATATGTTGCTAACAAACTGCACCAGGAAAACGGGGCAAAGAAACTGTCTGGCTGCTGATTAAGTGCTGCTAGAAGAGCCAGGAACTAACCGATACTTCGCTAGACCCGGGTAGAATCGGATTTTTGGCTTTACACCTTCCTGAAGCAGAGGACCCAAGAAAATCATAAACTTTGTCTCTACAGAACATTGGAAGGAAGGCTCAACACATCTTGTCATGCTCAGAGGCCAGCAAGGGAGCACGTCAGGTTGGACAGGGCTTTGAGCAACCTGATTTAATGAAAGATGTCCCAGTCCATGGTAGGAACGTTGCACTAGACGATCTTTAAAGGTCCTGCCCGACCCAAACCATCCTATGACTCTGTGATTTTCAGTCACTGAGCAAGCCATGGTCATCCAGTGAGGCACACCATTAGGTGACAGCGATACTTTCTCCATGTTCCCAACCAGAAGCAGAAGTTTTCTCAGGGTAGATACGTACCCCACCTCCCCCTTTTTCTGTCTGACTCTCTCCTTACCTTCATAGCAGTCCCGCACTGTGCCAAAGTAAACATAGTACTGGTCATTGGTGAAGAACAGGAGACTGAGCCATGAGTCAAAGGCGTAAATGGGCACAATGAAGAGGATCCGAACAATGTAGCGCTGTTCGTTTGGGCAGCTATAGCAGCGAAGATGCATGTAGATCTGAGAGGATGGAGAGGGGAGACCAGGATCAGCGGTATACGGAACAGAGAGAAGGTAGAACTGGAGAGCCAACTGGGCCAGGAAAAACAAACTCAGTAAATCACCTCTTGATTGCCTCCAGCAGCCTCAAGGTGATGAACATAAAAAAAGAAAAAAAAAAAAATCACTGTTATCATATGGCATTGATACAGCATCCCTTAGTTTGCAGAGAGGGGGAAGGAGAAGGAAAAGGAAGTGGAAGCATTTCTAATCTAGTTTCTTATCGGGAATTAATTTGCTGTTATTATCATCACCTTGCCCATATTCTTTTGTTCGTACCTTTTTTACCAATTATCAATCCTACATTCCTGCTACCCTGTTTTAAGTACCTAAGATTCAGAACACTGCAGGCTGCTTTTCTCTGCAGGGGGAAGGTGCATGCACTTAAGCACATGCTCATTGTAAATGCTCTTACCCTCTTGGCAGATTTTGGATGCTTTCGAGACTTTCACCTGAAATAACCTGAGACACCTTCACAACACTGCCAAGAGCTGATAAGCCACAGCCTGTCTGCTCAAAAAGTGCCATTCTGCACATCAGTGACAGCACAGCCACGAAGCATCAGCCATCAAGTGAGCACTGAGCTCGTGCACCATGCTCAAAGGAACCACGCAGCCACACCGCCTGTTTTGTCTGACTGTCTGCACACATGCCAATCCCTCTAAGTCACTGGCTGGGGGGAGTGCAACGTCCCCACCCTACCCAGTCCCACCACCCAGTTTGTTAGCCTTCATTAAATCCCACACCTAAGATATTTTTTCACAGAATACCCACCTCGTGGAAAAAGGTATTGACCACAAGCACACCCTGAAGATGAGCACCACTCCTGTAATGGCCTAATAACATGGCCAGAGCTTCAGTTCGAGTTGCGGGTACTGTCAACCACAGTCAGCAGAGGGCACGTTCTCCAGAGGCAAGGCCTCCGTATGGCAACCCTCATCAAGCTGCTGCCCCAACTGCCGGAATTAATAACAGCTAGTTTATTACATACGTGCCTCATGACTGACCAATTTTGCTGTCTGAAGAGGCACAAGCGTTTGTCTGAAGCTTCACCCTGCATTTGGGAGTGCCATGAGGATTCCTCAGAGTCTAACAAAAGCATACATTGATAATCTTGCCTTTCCCTCATAAGGGAGAGGGGCTTGTCTCTCCCCAACTGTCCATTGCTTGTCTCTCCCTGCCTCTTGGACAGATCTGGTCAAAATTGACTGAAGGGCTCAAAATACTTTTGTTTCCTCTCCCTAACCCAGGAGAAGCTCACAAAAGCCTCATTTCCTGAGGAGAACAGGTTGAAAATAAACTAACAAACCTGAGGGATATTTTTCCCTTGTGACAATCCCAGCGACACACCTCACCCAGCACAGGGACAGCTGACACCGGAGTTCAGCTGACTCCAAGCTTTGCCCTTGAGATGTCACAAGAGCCCTGTGATCCCTGCGCCTACGAGAGCATGAGAACTGCTGCCTTGTAACAGGACAACAGTGCGCTTCAATCAACAGTGTCTCGCTGGCACTGACCTCCGTTGGATTCTTCGGAGAAGGGCATTAATGCCTTTCTGTGCAATGCTATACTGCAGAGGCAAGATTTCTTCCTACCCTCAGTATGCAATCAATTTGTGCTCTGAAACAGGAGGATCCATGGCACTTGTAATTGTTACCCAAGCTGGTGAAACTGCAGGTGTTACTCTTATTCATCAGTGACTAATCCATTTTTGAACTTCACTAGCCCCTGTATTCCATCAATAGGCTGTAGTTTTCTAGATCCTAGTCATCAGTCTGGAATCTACAAACCAACAGGTACAAAACACAGGTTGATAAATAACAGGGCTTGCGTTTCCCCACTGTGTTTTTCAGTTCACATGACAACTGTGTGAAAGAGAGGTACGGAACAGGATGCAGGGTTTGACTTGTTCTGGCTCGCAGGACACCTGCCCCAGAAAGAGGAGGGGAGAAAAATGAAAACCAAAACATTTCCTGCTACTCCTTTCCACAGCAGAGTTGAGCCTGTGGAATCCACTGGCACAGGAGATCAAAGGAGGTATGTCAAGCAACAGATGACCATGATCATTTAGCTAACAGCTGACACAATAACAAAATGGCTAGATTCAGCTACAAGACCTGGGAAAGGATGGCTTGAGATAACACACCTTTCTGCAAACACTCAAGAGATGGCCAAATGTTTTACACCTGCTAGTTTTAAACAGATTGCTTTCTTTCCATTCACCCTACAGAAACAGTCTTAACCTGGGTAGAAAAAGGCCTTCATATAAAAGTTGCCACCTTGATCAGCATAGATTATATATTAGACCCCAAAGAAGAGGCCCTGGTACCACTCCAGAGTCTGGAAATCCCCATCACACAGCTGTACCTGGCAGAGATGTGCCAGGGAATCATATGTGTTCCTCCATGTGAGGAAAAGAAAAGGATGAGAAGTATGAGTGATAGGATTTTACCTGATGGCAGGTGATGAGCAAAGCTGTCCATACAAAGAAACCTGAGATGGCCTGAGCAGCGGTGGTCATGAGGAATATTGGCTGCTCCACAGCTGTGGGGCTGCCATCCTCTGGCATCCAGGAGAAGTTGGGAGCCACAGCTGGAGTGGTGGCAGTTGACCCCAGTCTGGGGGCTGCAGTGACGTCACTCATCACTATCATGGTGCCTTTTGGTGTGAGGTTCCAGTTGCGATTGCTAGACAGCCGGCCACGAGCCAAGACCTGTCAAGGAAGAGAACCAAAAAGCAATTGAACCCAGCCGAAAGGACTCAGGAGCTTAACAGTAACAGTACTCTGCATCTCTCACATGCCTTTCACCAGGCTGCTCACATGCTTTACGAACAGGAGCTGGATTAAGTCTGCCACTGCCACCCCTCGTGATACAACAAATCATGTGGTACTCAGGAACCTCTCTACCACTCGCAACACAGCCTCCCCAAGATCATGAAACACCGCCACTGACACCGACACCACCCTTCTGCAATAAAAATCTTTAAGAGCAAGATGAATACAGCATTCACCTGAGATCAGAAGGAAGTATCTAAATCACCCATACTGGACCATGACAGGCACACTTAAGTTAACAGCTCTACTTTCCATGAAAGCACTGGCTATTCGGCTGTGTCTTGAAAAGCCAGAGTCTTGATCTTATGCTTTCATCTGGAAGGCAGCAGAAAAAGCAGCAGCAGGCAACAAAAATACGCACCACAGTGTCACTGCGCAGCAAGGGGGAAAGAAGAGCATCTTTATTCTTCCAGGGAGCAATTCTCACCTCTCCTACTGCCATTTTGAAAACCTCACTCAACCCAAAGCACCTTCATCGGAAGGTAGGTGCCGAGTAGGATAAGAATGAAAATGATGCTAGAATAAGAATGAAAATGATGCTTTTATCAAATACTGCATGGCATGGTACACTTGGCCAGTCTGTCATTAATTCTACTAACTCAGCATTGTTTTCTACATGATGTGACTTTAACCTGATTGGCTTTCCAAAGCCAGCTGACCCATGAAAACACACCCAGAACACAAGGATATGCAAGATTTCAAAGCAGCATGACCCTTGGTCATTTCCTGGATGAAAAGCTATTTTCTTTCAATGGAATAAATTCTTGAAGGTCTAATATCTAACGCATCAATTATTTCCAATTTGGTTGTAAGCAGGCTCTAATGTGACCTCCAGCTTGGAGGAAGATAATCCACTTAAACCAAGATCACAAGCAGGCAACCATTGGTCATGTCCACTAGAAGAGCGGCTTCTAATGCAGTGTAGTAATGACGTGGTTATCAAGGGGACCAGCGTAATATTGCTTCCTGCTGATAACCTCCTCAGAGTTTTTGGGATACCCTTTCTGTAAAAGCACAAGACGTAGCTCTTACGCAGGCCTTTAAGACCAGCAGATGGAAAGGGCTTTAGAAAGGCCAACAATCCATCACCACAGTTTACAGCTGCAGCAGGGAAGGACACGTTTGTCATTTACTGACAGGTCACAGCAGAACACGAAAGAGAATGTACATCTGCAAAAAAACTGCCCCAGCCTTGCTCTACCTGAAGTCACAGCACAAACTGGTGAAGAGGCACCCAGTAAAAGCAGAAGGCCAGGAGCAAATCATTTCCACATGTACACTAAGGTGTGCAAATGGCCCCTCCAGCACATGATTTTCCAAACCAAACTTGCACCAGCAGTGCACAGCACTCTGGTGTTACTTATGCCACATTCCACCTCATTTCTGCTTTCTTCCACAGGGGGAAGAGAACAAGTACAAATCCTGGGAAATATCCAGATTTCTTTAAGCAGATATTTCCTTAATATAGAGGGAGCTGCACAACTGTTATGGTTTAATTTACAAAATAATTGCCAAACTCAGCTTTTCTTCATTCTTTCCAGTAATTCTTTTTACAAAATATCCCTGCTCTGAGTTACAGCTTTCCATAACTGCATATACTGAAGGGTAATTCCCTTCCAGTCCTGATCAGTACAGGAAATAACTGTTAAGTTTTGAGTTTCAAACCATATACACACATACATTATGTTATCTATACTATATCTGAAAATTTGGAGAGATGAAGGCTGGATGGAGATATCACAAGGTAGCAAGGTATTTATTGCTTTGAGAAGAAAGGAATTTCCACCCAAGTGACTTCTGAAGCGACTGGACACTCACAGTGCTGAGAGTACTTCCACTAAGCTCACAAAATGCACATCTAAAATGAAATCAGAGCAGATGCACCTGTGGTTAACCTAGCTCTAAATAAAGTCCAGCCAGGTGCAATCCCGCACATCCCAGTGCACTTTGGGAGCTATGCAAGAGAGGAAGCTGCTAAGCCCTTCCTAAAGTTCATCAGGGAGAGGATCTATACCGCAGACCACCAGTGGCAGGAGGGAGAGGACCTGAAGCTCCATGCTCCAGCTACTCGAGCCACACCAACAGCACAGACCCACATGAAGCACGGGTAACATCAGCAGAACTGAAGATCTGAAAGGCAATTCCTCTGCTTCTCTGCGCTCATTTTAAAAGCAGCTGAAACAGCAAAAAGTCATCAACAAGCATTTTGATATGACAAGGGTTATGTATTCAGAAGCAAGGACACTTAAAAGTTCAAGTTGTATACATAACCTTAACACTGCCCCCTTGTGATTATACATCAACTGTCATTAATTACAGGATTATACATCATTCTTCACCTAATCCCCTTTAATTCACAGCCATTTAAACTAATAATTCTTCCCAGCACTGTGTTCTGAAAGAAAACATAAAAACTTTCTTAACCAGGGCTCCACTTCTCCCACCCCAAATCCCAATCCGCCTCATCCATCAGCACCCCTCCGTTGCCTCTGAGGACAACTTTTTAATCACTTGCTTACAATCAAGGAAAAGTATCATCATCTTGCAGTTCATTCTCCTTGCTAGTGAAACACAAACACCGTACTCCCAAATCTGCAAAATTAACATGTACCTTCCAAATTATCCCTTCTAATCTCCTGAAGTTCCATACACGATTGCTACAGTGACAAGTATAAGCAGTCCACAAGGCTATTACGAAAGACTACTGTATGCAAGAAGCTGAAACTGTAAGAGCAATTCTGTAGTATACTCAAGAAATAGATAATAGCACAGATGATTGGAGCCTTAACCAGGTGAATGGATTTCAGTTTATTCACTACCACCAGCTCAGAATCTGCTAGCTCCTCTTCTGCCTTGTTAAAAAGAGCATCATGAGAGGACCACGGCAATTCTCTTAATAGGCCTTGTTTTCGAGATGCCTCTTCCCCACCGTACAACGTGACACGAGCCCAGCACATCCTTAGAACAGGCTTCCAGCAAAGGTGGTGCCTGGGGAGCACGTCACAGCAAACACGCTGCCTGGACAAGCTACAGACCGAGCACCCTGGTGTAAGCAGCTTCCCTCTTACCTGACACAGTGAATGTGCTTGATACTTGTTTCTTGGACGCCTACCTCCATCACAGTCCACGTCAGTGCCATAACACATACCTTCCCACTTCCCCTCACACCCAGAGCAAAAGGACTTTTCCAATAGCCACAAAGCTACTTCATACTCACCTCGATTTTCTTCATTCTCCCCCTTTGCTACTCCAGCTGCACAATAACCTGGCAATGGTTAGGCCACTGGCTGCAATCTCTTTTCTGTCTACTCCTCCCAGCTGGTTATATTTCTCCATTGTTTCTTGCGCATTTTAAGCTCCTTGGGACAACTATCTTTTTGTTCTCTGTCCATACAGTTCCCAGCACAGCAGGGTACCAAACCATGAGGAAGACACTTGGCATTACCATATGGAAAATTAGGGACATCCAGAAACCTGAATTATCAATGTAATACCAACCAAACCAATATAATGCATAATAAATTTTGTAGAGTTCCTTACTCTGCTGCCATATCCTGTTTTCTCATCTCTTTCACCTCCACCTCATTGCTCCCATTTCAAGGGAGAGTAAAGCTACCTGCACACTTATCTCCCTCTCTGGAGGGCTCTCCTAAATATATTAAAGGAAAACATTTCAACACTTCTAAATTTCACTCTTGAAGCTTTCCCCATCTCCAACTGACTGCCTTGCTCCCCCCGGAGGTAACCTGCAATATAGCATGTCCCAAGCGACCAAGACAATAGCCAGGAAAAGCACCAAACTTTGGAAACTGCAAACATGCACACAGAAAAATATGTCTGGGTAAACACACAGGGCTTTCGGACACAGGCTTACTTGTATTCCAGGATGGCTGCAGGAAGCTTGGATCAGCTGGTACGACTCCTGTACGTGGGCTACTTGAGCTTCGGGCAGTGCTTAGGTCTGTGTGAGGTCTGCACCCAACATCCCCAAACGTGGAAGCCAGAGATGATGCCCCCATTCCCAACGAGCTGTTATGTGTTCCTGCCCAGATGCCATTACAAGTTATGCACATCAGAGCAAGACAGGACCTTGTCCTGCTACGGCATTAGCTTAAACACCAACCTAGTACCGGCTTATCTAACAGATCTTCTCAAAGCACTTTAGGAGTATTAGGGTCTACTCTCAATGCAAGGAGAAGAAAAGAAAATAAAGCAAAGTACATGCTATTTATATCAAGATAACTATCCTGATAAAAACCTAGAGACTCAAAACACTGTTACTGAGATTCTTGATAGGGAAGGGGCTCCCAACCTGCACGGTGACCAGTTCTGCTAGACACATCACACCGACATAAAGGTAGCAGGGATGTATCCCCAGGGCCTGCATCCACAAAAAAGTCAGCAGCACAGTAATTCTTGACCAGGAGCAGGTTGTCATTGCTGTATCTTTTGGAGACAGACACCTTCTACCTTTAATGGCTAACATTAACACGGCAGCTTCTTCCACCAAAAATAAACTCCAAACAGTAAACAGAAGGGATGTGGCACAAGTGAAAACAAAAAAAATTAATTTCTGGCTTGCGTAAAGTCATGGAAAATGTTACCACCAAGGAGGAGCTATTTCTACATAAAAGTCAACAAACATAAATACATACACCCCATTTCTGACACAACAGAAGTGGTGAAAGAGGAGGAAAGAAACGTTCAAGCTTGGTCCTTCAGTTCCTAGGGGTACTTCTGAACACATATTCATTCACAGAGTCTAGTAAAGGAGGAGAGGGCTGCATACTCTGAGCAAGACCTGCTCCATTGTGCTGCGGGCGACAGCACACTTGCTTTGCCCTGATGTTGGTAGGAAAAGGAACCCCAAGCGACATGACCCTGAAGCCGTTCTCTGCCATCTGCAAGCACAATCTGTGTTTTTAAAATAGATCATCTCCTCTGAGGCTAAAAGTATTTCATTTCTAAACTGCTGAGAGAGCAAAGAATGATACACAAAGCTATCCCATGAAAGAGTCTTAACAGCTAAGCCTCCTTCTGCTGTACAAAACACGATCCAATAAAACATGCACAACCTGGCTGCAAGGTTCTCCTGGAAACTGTGAGGCAAGAAATTGCTCCTCCTTAAAACCTACTCCACACTTACTGTAGTTTCAAGTATCTACCATGCCGCACTTTAAGATACCACAAAACCATTTTCCATTCCCCTCTTAACTTCTTATTCCTCCAAGAGTTACTCCATTGAATTATCCATATTCTGGACCCAAAAAGACCAATGCAGAAGTGCCATGTGGTAGCTGATTTAAAGTCTGAATTTTTTGCATCTATTAGGACACAAGCCAGAGCTTTACATTAGTGAAAGCAGGAGCCTTATGGGTTTCAGAATGTCCCCTAGACTTACAAGGAGTACAAGAACACATGACAAAATGGTTCAAGGTTTATTTTAGACTATTTTAATTATAAGAATGCCTAGACTTGCCAACTGGGATCAGCTCTTTCCATTGTGCTAGGTATATATTACAAATTCATAATTGATTTAAAGTCTTTTCAACCCCCAAAGGCATGGCATCACCAGCTGATCTGGCAAAAGGTAGGAAAAGGAGAAGGCAGAGAGTCAGAACAAAATAACATAACATTATACAGTAAGAGAGTCATTGGTGCAGCTCAAACCAGTGATAGCGATAAAAGAAAATCAAATGCTTTTACATTTATTACTTCTTAAACTGCTTTTGTTCTCTGGGGAGGCATCTAGTTTACTTAGCTATGAGACATGAAAAGGTCCCAACAGTGCATTTTTAAGCTCTCCAACAGCATTCCCAAAACAATTTGTGAGTTAAGTGTGTGACCTGGCAAGCGATTTTTACTAGTGCAACTTATTTACATTTTACTACTCGTGCAGGGCAAAGCTTTCTTAACCTCAATTCAGTGAAAGTCACCTCACAACATACACTTCATACACTGGCACACGTATATAACTCCAAACACACATGAGCAATAATGTGCTCGGCTAGAAGACAGGCATTTGACAGATTCACAAAAACACATGGTGACTGAATCTACAGCTACTGCACTTCGTATCGGCTTAATGCACTTTGCACAACAAATTCAGATCCAAATGCAGTTCTTTGCAATGTTATTTCTCCAGAGGAGTAAACAGTCTGAACGCTGAAGAGCTTTTGCTCTGTCACAGTTTTCAAAACAGCTGTCAGTACAGTACAAGAGAAAAGTGTCACTGGGACATAAAACCAGTAGCGTCATCATGAACAGAACAGGAAGACCATTAACCTCAGAAGCAGAGGAGTCAGGCACCCAGGACGACCAAACCGCAGGGCAAGGTACACACCCACTAGGCCATATTCAAGAAATGATCCAACACCTACGTACACATAAGAGCATACCATACACAGAAACAATTTAACCTCCAACAAGGCCAAGCATCTTCTTTTCTCATTTTAAGGAAATTAAAACTCGGAGAACACCACAAAAATCTTCCCCACTTCCAACTCACACAGCCCCCACCCATTTTGCTAATCCACAGAGTCATCCAAAGAGCAGCTTCCCCTCCCCATGCACCCATTTAAAAACTCAGAATCAACAATAAAACCCTTTTACCCTGAGCCGTGCACTCCTCTTTCCAGAGTTTTTTTCTGCTCTATTAATTTCTGTTGTCTCGCTGTACTCACACAGCCCTCCTCCCCACATCCTCCTCCTCCTCTTTTTTTTTTTTTTTTTTTTTTTGTGTGGACTGACCCACATTGTGATAGGTCAACATCCAACATCCAGTCCCTTTTTGGGAAGGGGACAGGAAAAAGAGAAAGGGGGAGGGAGAGGAGTAGATGGGATGTTCCCCAACCTTCCAACTGCTCCTTCAAGAGTGGTATCGAACACATAGGCCTTGCACTTTGTCTCTCTCCCATATTCCCACCAGCCCCTCTCCACAAAAATCAGTCAAGCCCTCTGCTCCCAGGGGAGAAATACAGGAAGACTACAAAGATTCTGCAACTGGCAGAGGTGAAAGAGATGACAAGAAAAAGGACTGTGTTGCAAACATTTGTGTCCGGCGTGACAGAGAAAGTTTGCATTTCATTTTCCATATTCTCAAGAACAAAGTTAAATGAGAACTTATTCCACCACCACTCGCATTTATCGTTTCCCATCTTCAAGTGCTAAGACAGAGGAGACAGTTTTAAAGTTGCCAGAGTTACTCTAAGAAGAATCAAAAGTCAAACTCTACAGCAGAATCAAAAGCCACTGAACTTGTCACAGTCACACACGAAGGGAGCTTTTTTATATTGGAACATACTTTTCCACACAAAATATAACATACATAATCTATCAGATCAGATTCATACTTAAATTTAGCAAGTAAATGTGCTGGAAGAAGCCAGACATCTTATCACAAGCCCAGGCAACTGTGCAGCGATGCGTATGAGGGAGACGCACGTCTGACTTCCCTAGCAATCATTCTCTGATGCAAATACTCCTGCAGTGCTCATCACTGCTATGTAAAAACAGTGATTCTCAATAAAACACCCAAAGCCACTCACTAGGAAGCCATTCTGTTATTGATAAAATACCACCTGATTTTTTATTTGTGGGTTGTTGCCTTTTTTTTAAAAAAACAAAACAAAACTTTGGACATAAGACACATACATCCTCTTAATTCCCCAAAATCACCAACTCCTAATTTCATTACTCCTGTTCCACATTGCCCCCTCCACACTTCTCTCCCTGCCCTGTTACTCCATCAAGAAAAATAAAAACCCTACAAATGCAAACTTCTAAAAGCAGAATTAGGAGCTTTGTATTCCTGGACTCCTGGGAAAGGAGAGTTCCTCCCCACACAAAAATGCTAAGCCCTAGACAGATCAGCTTTACAGCTTTGTCAGTTAAGAGAATGAACCCCAACACACCACTTCCCTTACAGAAACCTTACCTCTGAAAACTCACAGGCAGAAAGCAATGCCTGGGGGAAGAAACCATTCTCACCCTTGCTAGCTAAAGCACAACAAGCAGACAGCAGAGGGGAAAACCTGCCCAGCATCCTCTTCTGAAGGCTACTTAGGCCACAGGAGTGGCTAGAAGCTGCTCACCTTTTCCGGGCTCAGCACCAAAGCTGACCACAGAGGTTTGCAGAGAAGTCGCCAATACTGTTGGAAGCTGACAGATTCCAACTGATACTAAAACACAGTTGGAGGCAATTCTGAAATCCCCCATCTCTATCCGAGCAGGCAGCAACAGCAACGCATCTTCTCTATAAAGAAAGGGGCACACCAAGCATCCACCTGAGAGGGTATGTGCTTAAAAAAAGACAAAACTTCAACCCAATTTTTCCAGACACCGTAACATTAAATTACTCAGTTGGATGAAGTTGCCTAAATGGGAATTTATATGAATAACTTCTAGTTTAAAACTCTGATGTAAAATCAGTGCCATCACAAAGCCATTGGGACAGGGGAAAGAAAGTCTGAAAGTCAGGAGAGTTTGGAGAAGGAGAAAGGTCACTCCCAGCTCCCATGGGACAACCAGCACCAAATAGCTTCACCCATCACTAACCACCCTTTCCTAGCAAAGCTGGCAAAGAGGAGACACGATGTGGTGAGCCAGGAAGAGAAATTCACTCTCTTCGAATCTCAGGTGACTGGCTTGTCCAGGTTCCTTTTAAGTAACCTGGACAAAGGCACAGCTCCTTACATTACTGCCTGGGCTTCATCTGTGCTGGGAATGACAAGGCAACTGCAGGCTCCCAAGCAATCAGCTCAGCAGCCTCCAACAGCATCCATGTCAAGTTTCACAGACTGGGGAGGGAACAATGGGCCAGCAAGGTCAGCTTTTAAGGTATTATTTCATCTCATCTCCTTCTCAAAGCCTCCCTGCTGCACTAGATAACATGTTGCAGTCATTTTCTTTGCTGAACCAGAAAAGACCTTTTTTTACCTTTTTGCTACAAAGTTGAACCGGGGGCCAGATGTACAACACAACCAGGCAGAGGGGAAGGCTTTCGGGTTAGACACAAAAATTTGAGGCCATGACACCATCTCCCTGTACTCTTGGTCACTCTCCATTATACCACATCCTCAAATAGCTGGTCCTTTGAGTA